GGAATCATTTCTGACAAACTTGTTAAGAGCTTTTGAGCGTGTTAATATTAGGATAGATTCAAGAATAGATATTATTGCATAACATACCTGGATTTTCAAAAGGCATTCATTATGATGCTGCAGTAAAGATTAATAGACAAGACAAGTTTTCATGGAGTTAGCTGGAATATATTCCAATGGATGGAAGATTGATTTTTAGACGCAACATAAAGAAGAGGGATAAGTGGAGCATTTTTAAGTTGGCATTCTGTGATTAGTGCACTGCCACGATGATCAGTGGTTGGGCTCTTGCTAGTTCTCATCTATATTCATGACTTAAACAAACTGAGAAAAACATAACTGATTTTGCTGATGATACAAAGCTAGGTATGTATATATATACTGTGAAGATTCAAAGACGGTCAAGTGAATAGGCAACATGGTGTCAAATGGAATATATTGTGGGGAAGCATGAAGTTATTCACATTAGATATAAAAATGCAGAAGAAAAATATTAATCAAAAGGGAATCAAGGGATTTGGGGAATCAGGCCGGAAACTGACGTTGAGGCAACTATGATTGTACCGAATAGCTTAAGAGGTCATTTAGTCTCTCCTGTATCTATTGCTGATATTTCAAGGTGCAGTCACTGTGCCTAGCAGAAAATATTGCACACAGAAAACTCTTATAAACACCAAAGTGCTAACATCTAAATAGTCTGTTTTTACGATGTTAACTAATGGATTAATATTAGCCAGTATCTCACGCATAGTTTCTTTGCTCTTCTTCTAAATTGTGCCATAGGATCTTTGTCATATATCTGAGTAGGTAGCCGGGGTTTAATGTCTTATTGAAGGTTACACCTCCATCAGTGTAGCTGGTCCCAAGTACTGCACTGCTATGTCAGACTTGACTTTTGTGTTTGAGTCCCAGAGTGACACTTCAACCCAAAACCTTGAAACACACGGCAAGAGTGCTATGAAGCGAGCCAATTCTGACACACAAAATAAACAAATTATGCATGTGAAAGTCACAAAGAGCATTGTGAACTTTTTTTTTTATAATTCAGGCAAAGTATTAAACATCATCACACACGCCAAAGTAAAAATCTGTAACATATCCAGTAATATTGCAGAAAATTGACAGGTTATTCCACTAGCGATCAATATTTAGGGAAGATATGTTAAAGGAGGCTGTTGCATTGCCTCACTTTCAGATTATCAGATGTTTTAGTGTGAGAAGTGACTCCATCATAAATGGCTTTGAACAGGAATCATACAGCTACTCATTTCTATTTTACACTTAGTTTACAGAAAAGAAGACTTCTCTTATTACTATACATTCCATTTGTGGCTATGCAACTAATAAATTAATTTGAGAAGATTAAGCAATTAGCAATCATCAAAATGTATGAGTTTAAAAAACTTAGTGTAATTTGTACAATTCTTCCTTCATGGCACCTTTACCACTCGAAAACCTTATTAGATTCATGGCATTAAAAAAAAATTTGAATTGTTTTTGACTTTAATGTGCATTATTATATATATGATTGCAAGACTGAAAAATATCCCTTTAGCTTTTAAAGCTAGCCTAATGTCCACAAATGACATATATGGTATATTAAAATGATACCTTTTCTTTGTATTCATTTATACCTGGATGATTGAAATCTAACTAAGTCATTAAGCCATTGAGCTTCAAGCCATATAACAATCGGACCAATATTTGAAAAATTAAAGATCATGCCATGCACGCTGCACAAGGGATAAGCGAAAAGTGCCAATTTAGATAATGTTCACAATGCCTTGCAACCTGGGAGAGAGACACTGCAAAACTCTCACTATCAGTCAATACAATCGCATAAGCAACTAATTTTCCACGACAATGGATTCCTGCTAATTTGCCTTTCCTCACTCCCTATTCTGCTCTTTTGGTTTCACCCTGGAGCCTTCCCTCCACTATAAAACAATCTTGCTGCTGTGCTCTGCAGTTCCTTTTCCCCTAGTCTGTACTTGTTTCACACTCACCATATTTCATACTGTGCCTTTGATTGCCTTATTTCTCCACAATACACTGCCTTTTTTTCTCCCTTGGCAGGTTAGAGTAGCATAGGCCTGATGAGGTCAAATATCTACAACTAGCTGATTCAGTGATTTCTCAGCTTTGGAAATAGCAAAGATTCTCCATGATAAACTGGCAAATTGTTTATTTGTAATTGATGTGGATATCTTTCTTTCTCTCTTCTGCTCATGAGGTTGAAGATCAACCATGATTGTATTTCATGGTGGAGCAGGTGTCAATGACATATGTCAAATATCTGCACCTATTTCTCAAAAGCTTATAACAATAATAATGTGAATGAACCTTATTCTCAGTGGACACAACTAAATTTCAGTTATAGGCATTCTGGGACTTGATTCATTGAAACAAGGTACTAATAAACTGTGTGACCAGACATTGCATGTTAAACTACTTTAAAAAAAGTACGTGGCCAACAACATGTTTCAAGCACTGAGACAGCAAAGGCTATGTTTTTTGCACACTGTGTGCCTTGCCATTGCCCTGAGCTTAGCTCCTACTTTATTGGAGTGTCTGCAGCTTTGGATAATCTTTCAGCTCTCCTGACACATAGTACCTGAAGCAAATTAGCATGTTATCTAGCATTAGTAGCTTTTTAATATGGTTGTTGGCTATGTTAAAGCTGTACTGCTATTGAGGGATAGAAATACCCAAAGCAGGGTCACCACGGAACAGAAACATAATTGGACCAGCCATGAATGCCATGCTACAAGAACGCAAAGGAGGCTGGGGATTCTGTTGTGAGTGATTGCATCCTGACTCCCCAAGGAGTCTTTTCACTCATTTCAAGGCATAAGTCAGAGGTAGCCTGGCTTACTCTCTATTACCTGGATGAATTCAGATCCAAGAAAACACCAGAAACTGACAACACCCGAAAAATGCGACACCATGCAGGAGCATTGAGACCAAAGCTGTGACCTTAAACATTCACTCCTCATCACTTCTTATTGTCGCTGTACTTTCACAGAACCTCCAAATCTACCTGGTAGAAGACAAAGGGCAGCAGACACTTGGAAACACCGCCATCTACAAGTTCTCTTCCAGATCCCACACCATCCTAACTTGGGAGAATATTGCTAGTTCTTTACAGTCACTGAGTCAACACTCAGAAGCTCCCACCCTAACAACACCTGTGCACTGCAGAATCTTAAGTAACTTTCAAGAACAGCGGGTTGGGCAATATATTCTAACATTGCCTGCGGTGCTCATTTCCTGTCAATGAGCAAAAGAGTGATTTAATTTGGTCTTGTGCTGCGTGATGAAGAACGTAGGAAATAGTGAAAAGTGGTGGAGTGGTGAACAATTGTTATCATATGTTGAAATATCTGGAGAAATCAAGAGCTCTATTTGTCTCGACTATTCTTGATAGGTCATTGAAAAACTTTCTCCACTGGATCTGGGTGGTGGGAGGGAGGTTCGTGGAGCTGACCAGCTGAGCAGTCACTTTCTATGTACTGTAAGCTTAATAGTTCAGGACCTTCCTTGTATTTTTAGAAAGAAAACATCTATCATTACTCTGATCTCTTCCAAAAGAGCCTCCAAAGAAGCCTTGGAGAAACTGGTACTTTGCCTACAACTCATTCTGCCTTGATTTCTAGCTGAAAGGGAATCTTACACAAAGGTATGGAACCTAATATTAAGAAAGCTATTCTTCTTTAACTAATCCTCTGATTGACTTGCTAGAAATTGAGCTCTAGAAGTGGCCCACCAGTGAGTGTATAATGAGGCTTGAATGTTAAAATAACTTTGTTTATTGCTACAATAGTTGAGTTTTGATTTGACTCAAAGGGCATCAGTCCTTCTGAGGGGTATGGAATAGTATATGGGATAGGAAGCTTGTCCATCCTATCAGAATGCTAATGGTCAGCTCTTGCAAGCCTTTCACTGTGACAAGTGGGGTTTTGGATGTCCTCCACAAATCGTACCAAGTTAAAAGAGACAGGAACAGATATGAAGACAAGACAGAAAGTGAAGAAACATCCTGGAAGTTAAATTGTAGGAATTTTGTGCACATTAGGGTGAACATAGAGGCAAAGGAATGTTGAGGCAGGTCAATGACAGAAGGGCTAGAAGCAAGGAGAATGATTCAAAAGAAGGGCTAAATTTTGAGCCGACATCAATTTTGTTAAGCAAATGCCCAATGGGATTATTTTAAGTGTCAACAACTGAGGCTCAGATCTGGTGTTCATTGGAACTCTTTATAGTCAATGGTAGTTGAGCTGGGCTATTCAAGGTATCCACTCTGGGACCTTTCCCACCTTGGCTCCGGCTTAAGGTCTACTGACCAAGATGGCAGACCTGCATCAGGCACAAAGAGGGGCCTTCCACTAGGAAAGTCCTGTTTCCCAACAGACTGAGATGAGACTGTGACACAACACAATTTCTGCCTCACAATTCCCACATCTGATAGTAAAATCTGGCCAGTCTTTTGAAATTTTGACTTATTCCAAATCCACCCATATGCAGAGTTAGAATTAAGACACAAAAATCATTAGCTGAACAGTCATCTGGAGATAAAATATGGTCTGTGAACTGGTTCAGATGTTCACAGACGTTAAGAGAATGAAATATGTTAAATCTTGGATACCACTTTAAGAGACAGGCACATGAACACAGCATCAAACTGATAAATTAGAAACTTAACACAATGGGGCAAAGGTTTCAGATGGACCAGAGCAGTTGAAAAACATAGAATTATTTATGAGATAATTCAATGCAATGCTGCAGTGGCACGATGCAAGATCTTCCTGAATGGATGAATTCAAATAGACGGATTGACCTTCTTCACTTGAAATGATTTTGTGATTTATAAGACTTGGTTACCACATTAACTCTCTGTTCAACAAAGTTCATACTGGAAGAAGAAGATGCAATCAAGGTGAGGGGTGAACATTGTAAATCTCTGAATTGTACGTGCCTTCATTTTGCTTGGTTTTACTCACCCTAAGTCTTCGCCCAAATATTGTGATCTGTCCTCTGGTTTGTTCTTTCCGCTGTCGCCATTCCACCAAGTTTAAACCATTCTCAATGGGCAGGGTAACATTGCGCTTTCCGACCGTAGGATTTACAGTGCCACCTAAGAGATGTGGCTCCGTTTGCAAGGCAACTTCCATACCATTAGCTAGCATAAGTCTCAGTGAGCCATCGGCACCAATATGATATCCATTTCTAACTTGATCTGAGAATACAAACATTTGATAATTCCCAATTATTACAAATTCTGTGTGGGGAAAGTGAATATTTGGATTACAAATCAGCTAGCCAGTCAATATAATCATTGCTATTTAATGTCTTTGATTACTTTAGCAAAGAATGAATGAAAGGTTGGTGAATCTTACAGACTTGGATGGGTATAAGTTCAAATTTACACATCACCAGTCTTTTGATCTAAGCTGTGGTGCTGCAGAAAAGTGTCAAGTGTTGCACATGAATGAACAGCACTGGTTATGGCCTGAAAGATGATCGACAACTTGTCCCTCTCAGATCTGTAATCGTTTAATAGTCAGGGAGGAAAGGTAGTGGGAAAAAAAAGAATGTATTGTCAAAAGTTGGAGAACAGAGACACAATGGATCCCAAATTGTAGGTAGTTTTCTCACTCCACACACGTCTTTAGGTAGGAGACTGGTGATTACTGCAAGAAAATGTGTTACATCACACTCAGTTGTCTCAAGTCTCCACTGGTCATATGACTTCCCATATTGTCTAATTGGGAGAAGTATCTCCATCCAAGCAGTTACAAGCTAAATAATGGGATGACAATGAGACCAGAGTGGTCCTTCCTAAGAGTAATATTCCTTTCTTAGGTCCTGGATGAAAGGATAAGAATCCAATGCTAAATACATTAAGATTGGTTTACAAGGCCCATGTTGCCAATGTATTAAAGCCTGTGAATCAAACCCTTTCCATTACAATTATAAACAGGTCAGGTACAGTACTGTTAGATGCAGAACAAAGTTCTTAAAGAATCTTGCCACTTAGTATTGAATTAGCAACAATTGCGGCCTTGAGGGTACTGGATTGAAGCTGCCAAAAATAGTTGCCTGCAGGATCTGCACAATTTGGTCTGGATTTGAATTCTTGAAGAATAAAAGGTGCCATTTAACTTACTATACCATCCAATTCACATTGTTTGGATAAAAACACAAGTGGCTCTACAATGTATCATTTCCAGTTTGACATTTTCACATTAATATAGATTATTTTGGTTGTGATATTTCATAATAATTTTCCTGGTACAGTATTAAAAAGGGTGAGATTGGATTAGCTGCTTAACATACACCGTACCTGATTTGCCATCTCATTGACTTTGATGAAATAGAAATCAGCAGTGCATGTGAAATGGCTAGTCCATCTGATATCTCCTGTGTTCCATCATTCACCAGAAGTTGTAATAACTCTGTGGCCATTACAGTCTGCACATATTCCCTGACTCAATTTTAGTATGTCGTACATTTGGACAAATAGCCAAAGAAAAACGCCAACATAATTATAATAATTTGAAAACCATATGCAATAACTAGTTGTCATGAGTGAGAACAAAAAACAGTAAAAGAGGAAATAATTAACAGTCTCCATAATAAGTGAATTAACTTACCTTGGACAAGTGTATAGAATGAACCTGCAGCTGACAGGTTGGTTGTTATTGTAACATCATCCTTATTAGATGTTTCAACATGGACTTGAACTGAGTTATCAATTTCCCCGTGGAAACTATAGATGTGGCCAGTGGGAAAAGTTGCATTGATCAGCCGGCCATAACTATCATACCTAGGTGGAAAATAATTACATGTATATTTATTTAGTTCATTGGCCAAAAAAGCTTGAGTTTTTATACTACAGCCAACAAGCTTTTCAATGTACAATTTTGCCTACAGGATTCCAGTTTTCACTAGACAGTTCTATTAAAACTCTTTCATTCAGCATCATCAGAATCATGCAAGTGGGATTAATTTTTGCTAAGGCAGCAATCAGTAATTAAGTACCACATGGAAAGGATAATTTATATATGAGAGACTTAAAGTCAATAAATCACACAAATAAATCAATATGTAAAATCACTGGGTCGTACTGGGTTTTCAAATGAAGTATTTGTGATAGATCCACTGAATTAATAAAATGAGGTCATTCTGTTTTTGAGGGATGGAATGACTAATTAGGAACACAAGATTGAAATCATGCAATTAAAAGCTTGCTGAAAAACAGAAAACCAATGCATATAATATCTAATGCTACTTTAATCATGTTTCCATTTCAAAATTATTCTTATCTTTAAGTACATAACTGTATGTCGCCAAATGTCAACAAAGAGCATTATCAAGCGTTTGAATTTCTTGATAATTTAATCCACTGCCATTTATAAAACTCTGGTAATGTAGAAAAACATTTGCTTTCACACATGTTGGCCTTAGGTTTTGCTCCCAGAAAGGACTTCCATCTTAATGAAGATGGTGCCAGAGGTACACATCTTGAATTTTTGCCTTTGAACCCAGCTGTCACTATTTTTGTAGGAATGGGATTGAACAGGGTTCTAATTTTCACATGTGTGGTTCATGGAGGCAATTGCACATGTTGAAGCAAAGATGCTTCAGTTAGGTCTGATTTTTGCCAGTGGGATGCCCGAACCACAACTTTGTATCTTTAGACCCAGTAGGAGAAGGTTTAAAAACTTGGTGACATTCTTTGGAAAGTTAAGGTCCCTTCAGGATCTGTCCAAGGACCCTTCATATGGTTAAGCAACCACAGAATGAGTACATAAAGTCATTAGAACTGTCAACTCATTGGAACTGTCAAGAGAGATGTCCAGGTATTTAAATCGTCTGCCCCTTAAATATATTTTTAAAAATACTGTCTGCAGAATTGAAAAATATTAATGTTTATTATTTCACTCTGTCTGTTGATATAAGCATCAGGGTTATCATTAGAGCATGAGAGCTGCATGACTTATTTCACAAGATTTCATTGTTTCTGTGGATACATGTCAGTTTACAATTTAATTGCTTGCTGAATGGTTATAAACCATTAGAAATGGTACTACGAATACAAATGCTTCTTGAACTCTTGTGGTGCAGTGGTAATATTTCTACCTCTCAGCCAAGAGGCCTGGGTTCAAGTTCCAACCTGCTCTAGAGGTGTTTAACAACATCTTTGGACAGGTTGATTAGAACGTATTGACAAATGCTTGTTTTTATAAGTTAAATATAACCTTTTTCAACATTTACCTGTACAACAATCCTCAATACAAGAAACATTGCAGATCTACTCAGTCCTTTCCCTCCAGGCACCTCATCAGATCCCCATTGGGACAACCAACGCACACATTCATCCTCATCCCTACTGTCCCCTGGTACCCATACCTCACAACCACCCTCTGGAAGTACTGACCTTGCCTTCATTCACACAATCCATTTCTAACACTAACTCTCTACTTTTTCTCTTTGCAGAAGGCATGCATCAGTTTGGGGAGAGGTAGAAACCAAGGTGATTGGGTGGCATTGACCTTTTAGGTGTAGCCAGTGTCAGCACATGAACACTTGCTCCATTGTTAAAGGAGGCTACAAATATCATTAACAACTGTGGCATTGATGCTCACACATGTCGAAAGAGCTGATCATTTGTTTGTAGATCCTATGGCGGTCTCATCTCCTTAAAGTGGGATCTCTGTGGCTATTCCCTTTGTGCTGTGGAGAAGACAGCAGCTGCTTCTTGTGCTCTTGGCATTGTTATCCGTCACTAGTCTCATCAGAGGTGAAAGGTAGAGCTATATGAACTGCTTACAGTTCAAGGCTTACAGCAGGAACGTATGTAAAGTGTGGGGTAGATGAAGAGGTCAGCAAGCAGCTGCCGAGCAGTGAAGCACTCTTTGAGAAGGAATGCAATGACCATCTGCCTTTCACCTGGACATGACTAAAGTTCTTCAGTTTCACTGATCAAAGACTTGCCAGCCTGCCAGTTTCACTGACAAAACACTCCCCATTACTAACTCAGCTGGATGACCCTGACAACTTGCTGACAGGTTGGGATATAAATGCACTGGATGTTAAAGCCAAAATTGGTTCATTAAATCAGTAGTTAATGACCTATTACTAATTACAATTACTTATCCAACGCTCCAAGATGTACATGTCAATCTGTTCAGGTGAAACCTGTGACAGGGCAGCATGTTGTTGTGATTCTGACCCAATACCGCTTTCTGGGGATTAAACTCCCCTAACCTGTCTTACTTTGCCTGTAATAATTTTCCTCCATTGCCTCCTGTAATTGAAGTATTGTTCAATTTGTGAGTTAGTAATAGGGCATTCTTTCATTCTTTTGAAATGATTTGTTTGCATTACTGATTAACATGAAACCTGAAATGTATTTTGTACTTATTATGTAAAATCATGTTTGATCCATGTGTTGTGTCATTTTATCCCACAGCAAAATATTTTGTCAATGATGTAATACTTTTTCCCATCACTGATGTCAACTGGGGTCACATTGAATTAAACGTAAAATTAATTTGAAGTGCAGAAAATAAATGCTGCTCAGCAAGGTAAACCACAGTCACTGTTCAGGAAAGATGTAAGCCTTAGTCTGAAGCTAAGTAGATGAGAAGAAAAAAGAATTTACTGTTATCAGAAAAGATCAGGAGAAGCTAAATGCTGCAATACATCACTTAATAATTGTATGGATTTTTAATCCTTTGTTGACAACATAATTTAACAATAGGCTCAAATATTTGGTAGCTTACTTAATTAGAAAACAAATTAACACATTTATAACTCCCTATTTCTAGATTTTTTTACCCAACTTCAAAAGGTCAGGAGTTCCTGTTATTCTCAGTTGACTTGGACTTATTTATATCTAAACAATGAGTTTTTTTAACATTTTGTGTTGAAATTTTGAGAGCAATATCAACTCATTAATCATTTGATTAACACAACTGAATTAAAAAAATAAAAGTATGCTTGATCAGTCATCTTTACCAGTTTTGACATTATAAACTAGCTGCTTTCTTAGCTGTTAATATTACTTAATGAAAACTATATTTCTTAATTTTATAAGACCTTCAAACAAGTCTAACAACTTCTTGTTTGAAGGGCTTTTTAAAAATAACTTTGTAGCTGTGGGCAATCTTCTGTGCACCTGCGGATGTGGTTGGAACCACACTAAAGACCTTGCCATTGAAAATTTGCAATTAAAATTATAAACTGCTTTGCTTCAAGAAGGAAAGTTGCAAATTAAAATCTGGAGAACACAAAAAGTCTAGTTGCACCAGATCTCTAGAGATGGCCATGAGAATGTTGTTTAATTCACTAATAATGGTGGGCACTGGTAAGAAGATAGTCAGAAATTCTGCCTATGAGCATCTATGGAAATCTTAAATGCCAACCAGCTGATATTCAGATCTAGAAATCTCAGCATCAGCTCAATATTGATATAATGTGCTGGTCCTGAATCTCTCTGGCTTAGTCATCTGATGACCAACACCAAGAGTGGACTAAATAACAATCTGAGAGGTTTCCAATGGTGTTGCTTGCTGTTAGATTTCATTGTTGTGATTGGAGGAATTTTTCTCACTTGTGTGTATTCATTATGGTGGTAAATCTCAGTGAAAGGAATGAAATTACAAATACACTCCTTTGTCAGTTTCTGCAGATATACAGACTGAATGACATCAGTTTATGTTGATTACTGACCCTGAAATGTACTTATCTATTTGATATAAACAAAATATACATAGTTACTCATAAAATGTGGTCCATCCATTTTCGTTACTTTTAGTTGCCATGAGACCAGTATTGCCATGATATGTCATCATAGCCAGTTCATGACCTTGGGTAGACACACTTTTCAAAGCACTGTTGGTTCCAATAGTCAGCCAGTAAAGCTGCCCATCTTGCACATCAAGCCAGAGTGGCATTCCTGTGGCATCCCGACGAATATGTAATAAGTTTCCATTATTGTCTTTGATTGTGCTAATGTCTCCATTCTCAGTGTATGTGATATTATAAAGATAGTCTCCAGTGATAAGGCTCTGGGTATACAGATGGCTACCATTGAGGGTAAATAAATACAATTCTTGATCAATGGTTGAAGCAACTTCATAAAGATTCTGAGAATTAAGAAAAGGCCTGTTTTTCCGAACAAATCTAATGCGGATGTTCCCAAGATCAGCTATGTACAGTTCTCCCTCAGGGCATACTGCAAGTGATGAGGGGGCATTTAATCTGGCATCCTTTGCATATCCATCGTCACCTGAGTAACATTCACAGTTTGCATCATTTTTACAGTCACAACCAGTTGGTGCTCCAGCGACTAGAGATATTTCACCATTTGTTGTGACTTGGCGCACACGGTTAATTTTCTTCTCATCTGTTTCTGCTATGTACAAGATCCCATTATGGGAAATAGAAATGGCACTGGCTGACTCCAGGGTTGAATGCACTGCCACCTTGCTAAGCAAGAAATGATCAATTCCAGGCACTTGACAGTGCATCGGGCGGCCAGCCACAATGCGAACTTGGTGATTTTCTGAAATCTGAAGTACCACATTGTTGTCCAACACATAAAGTGAATTATCCATGGGATTCACTGCCAGATCAGTGGGCCATTCCAGACGTACCTGAGGGCACAATGTTACAAAATCAATAGTAGTCATTAATATTTGATTTCAGTCTGAGAAACAATAGTAAAACATGTTGCAATGCTGCTGAAATTTCTCACTTTTTTTCTCCTTTCACTGATGCATGACTACTCAATTTGTTTTTTAAGGAAGAGCCTATGAATGCTTACCCTTTCAAGCAATGACTTAATAACTAATCTATTCACTTAGCATTTCTGATTTGTTTTAAACACCTAAGTATGTCAGTTAAACTGGAAAATCATTGCATCATTTATACATGACATCATCAAAATTTTAAAAACTCTCTTCTATTTGCTCCTCAAACACATGTACAAAATGACCATGTATATTCTTTCTTGAAATCTACAATTTGGAAAAAGGAAAACAAATTTTAGTTTATCCACGCTGTAAATCTTAATTTTCCCCCAAAGAATGGAACAGCTTGAAAGACTTCTCCTTTTGGCAGTCTGCAGTCACTGCTGGCAGGGAAGTTTCTATTAATTTGAGCCAGCGTTTTAGTGAAATAGCTTAAGTGAGGCTATTATTCAATATGTTTATGCTTAATTTTTCACACTTGTTGAAGAAACTACATTAAAGAAATTAAATAATTAAGAGCTCTGAAATATGTGTGAAAATTTGAAAACTACACTAAAGTATGCCTTTTATAACATATTTTCTCTGAGTATAAAAGGGATTTGTATAAAGATGATGTGAAATGAGCTCCATTATATTATGTTCCTTCCAATTTGGAAATAGGCACCATAATAATGCAATAAAATGTAGTGATATTCATAATTTGCCTAATATTATAGTAGCATCAGATAGCAAATTTCACTTTTAAATAACTAATGATTTTTTTTTAAAAACACATGGCCTTCCAAAGATTTCATGGCCTGTAGATTCACAATGACCATTGAGATATAACTGAAAGGTTTTTTTATTCTTCCAAATGATAAACAAATATTCTTGCTCCTTCTTAACATGGTTAAGGGCCCAATTTTACTCTTTTTAGTGTCAGATTTCCATTATAAAATTACTACCCTTTTCATTGCCACTGTGATTATCTTGCAATTTTCATTTTTAAGTACAACAGTTTATTGTGCCGAAGTGAGGAATGAGTGATATGTCCTTAATTTGAAATGGCTTTAAAACCAGATCCTAGTTAATCAACAACAACAATAACAAAAACAAAGTTTCTGGAAAAGCTCAGCAGGTCTGGCAGCATTTGTGAAGTAACAATCAGAGTTAACGTTTCAGGTCTGGTGACCATTCTGGACCCTTCCAGCAACTTTGTTTTTGTTCCTGATTTACAGCATCCGCAGTTCTTCCGGTTTTCCCAGTTAGTTAAAATGGCCATACTAAAAACTCATAATGGCTCATCGAAAAGTACATTGTCAAGCATGGAACAACAGGGAAACTGTAAGTTGTCTTATTGTTTCCAACCAGAGAGAGAAGGTGAGGGAGAAATCAGCCAGGGAACCCAATTTGACTTGCTATTAAATGATTCTCATTGAAAGTTGAGATTGTGTTGTCATAACTTATTGTCAAAATTGGGGTTTGCTATGAAGTACAACAGAAAATAGAAAGCCAACATCTACTGCATAGATTCCTCAAAAAAAAAATTGGGGTCATGTACAGGAGTGAATGAATGAAGGAGCAAGGAACAGTGACTCCAGGAGGGAAGGAAATTAAATTTAAAAATACTTTAAATGCTTTAAAATGCATTTAATTAATCAAATTTCAATTTAAAGTTTGTGTGTTTTTTTAAAATTAGCATGCAGTTACAATAGCACTAAAGCGATACAATAATCTTGCCACAAATTCCAGAGGGGCTATTTTGATCTTTTCAATACTCGCTTTTCAGCCAAAATAATACAGTTGTAAGAATGCATTTTCATAGATAACTTTCTGCATTCTTGCTGCTTGATTTCATTTTGGTATATGTCTGAAAATAGACAGCCAACACTCCACCAGGAAGCAGGCTGAAGCTTCATTACTCTGTGAAGTAGGGATAATCATGCTGTCTTGGAAATATATCACTGTTCCTTCAGTGTTGCTGGGTCAAAACCCTTATGCATTATTATTCAATTATAATTATACAAGAGATATTTAAGAAATTTATTTTATCAAATCTCAACATTGATTCTGAGGTCAGCTTGTAATAGATATTGGGTGAGTTGGCACAGTAGGAGTTAGGACAAATGATAGTGCATGGGGGAGGTGAGTTGGCAAGAGTTGCCGCTAAGTTGGCATAGGGGCTATTAAGGGCCAAGGATAGGTTGGTCATAGGTTGGAATAGAGGACATAAGGGGCAATTGAAATAGGTATAGGGGCATAGATTGGAATGGAGAGGATGAAGAGCTATGCAGGGGGGCATGATGTGGAATAGGGTGGCATGAATGGACTATGGGAATTATGTGGGGCAGGTCGGGTTAGGGGAAGGGAAGTGCTGGAGCACAAAAGCAGGACTTCTGCCCAGCCCAGCTCTATAGTCAGTAGCTGAGGTTTCTGGAGTTAATTCCCAGAGAACCTGCCCCCTCAGAACAAACAGCTGAAGTTCTGAGGCACCTTCTCCCAGGTCGGGAGTTTGTGGAACCAGAAATTGTCCTTGCCCTGCACTCCCAACCCAGAACAAACATTCAGGCCATAGTCAGTCACCCCACACTATCCACTCAGCACAAGAGTTCCTCAACTCCATCAAAGACATAAGGATAGATGACAAAGAGACCATGATATCGTTTGATGTCACTGCCCTATTCACATCAATAGACATACCACTAGCAAGGGAAACAATGACAACACTACTGGAACAAGAGCAAGACCCCAGTGAAACCATCTCCAAGGACAACATGCTCATACTATTGGACTTATGCCTCACCACCCACTTCACTTTCAACGGCCAAACATACGAGCAAATCAACGGAACACCCATGGGATCACCTATCTCTGGACTCATAGCAGAAGCAGTGACGCAAATCCAACCAAAACTATGGATACGCTATGTAGACAACGCCTTTGTCATCATTAAATGGACCAAATTAGAGGAGACACACAAACTTATAAACAACACACTCACTGGAATAAAATTCACCAGAGAGGAGGAGAAGAACAAACAGCTCCCATTCCTGGATGTCATGGTAGAGCACAAGACAAATGGGGAACTCCAAACGAAAGTACACAGAAAAGCCACACACACAGACCAGGTACTGAACTTCAACAGTAACCATCCCAGCACACACAAATGAAGTTGCGTGCGAACACTATTTAAAAGGGCAACAACACACTGCAGCAACACAGAACTACGCCAAAAGGAAGAAGAATACCTCTTCCAGGTTTTCAGGGATAATGGATATCCAAAAAACTCGGTCAGAAGATGCCTACACGAACAGCATCAGGAAGATACTACACGCCCCGACACACTCATCACACTACCCTACATCAGGAACACGTTGGAACTCACCACAAGACTCCTACAACAGCTGGGCATCAGAGTGGCACACAAGCCCATGTCAACCCTACGACAACTGCTCACCTGAACTAAAGACCCACTCCCCGCCATGGACAGGACCAATGTCATCTACAGGATCCCCTGCAGAGACTGCGAGAAACACTACATCAGACAAACAGGAAGGAAACTAACAACAAGGGTACATGAACACCAATTGGCTACAAAAAGACACGACCAATACTCACTCATCTCAATCCACATGGACAAGGAGAAACACCATTTCGACTGGGACAACACCAAGATCCTGGGACAAGCTAGACAGAGACAGGCACGAGAATTCCTAGAAGCCTGGCACTCCACGAAAGATGCTATTAATAAACATATTGAACTCGACCCCATATACATTCCACTACGAAGGAAACCCGGAAGTGAGGCAATCCAGTTCAACCGACCCCAGAGTTTAAAAACCAGGCGGGAAAACACACCGACACTTCATCGGAGGCTGAACTGAGGATGTCACCAAGCACAGTAATGAAACGTCTGCGAAACAAGAAACAGCTCGGCTAGCCAACCAACCTCAACAACCACAACCCGAGCTACAAATCTACTCCAAAACCTCAGTGCTGAAGTACTAAATGAGTACATAGAAAATGGCAACAATTGCCAAGTTGAAAATGTGGCTGTTGAGCAACTGAGCAGTATAGTGACAGATAAAGATGAGATGCTAAAAAGGTTAGCAGCACTCCAGGTAGAGAAATTGCCAGGCCTGTGCAGGATGCATCCTAGATTACTGAGAGAAGTGAGGGAGCAAATTGCAGAGCCACTGACAGAAATGTTCCAGGTCTCTTGAATGCAGGATTGGTCTCAGGGGACTGGAGGATTGTAATTGTGACACTGTTGTCTCATAAAGGGGCAAAAGATAACGTAGGAAATTACAGACCTGTCAGCTTGATGTCAATTGTGGAGAAACTGATGGAGGCCATAGGATGAGCTAAGGTAAATATGCACTTTGAGAAAAATAAGTTAATACTAGACAGTCAACATGGCTTTGTCAAGGACAGGTCATATCCGACAAATTTAATTGAGTTATTTGATGAGGTGACACAGGCAGTGGTTGTGGTAATGCCTGTGGATGTCATATATTTGAACTTTTAAAAACATTTGATATGGTGCCACATGGCAGGTTCGTTAGCAAATTTGAAATGTTTGGGATTGATGGGTCCTTGGCAGCATGGATTAGAAGTTATCTAAAATACAGGAAACTGAGGATAGGTACAGATGGGCATTTCTTAGACTGGAGACAAGTTGAAAGTGATATTTCCCAGCGATCAGCGTTGGGACCCTTGCTTTTTCTGATTTATATAAATGATTGGAGATGAGTGTTGGGGGTAAAATCTTTAAATTTGTAGCTAAGGTAGGGTGAACAATCAAGATGACGCTGAGTGACAATAGAGGCTGAATGGTATAACTTTGAGGGGAGTACAGGAGCAGTAGGGGCTCACATAAATATTTCTCTGAAGGTGGCCAGGCAAGTTGAAACAGTGTTAAGAAGGCTTATAGGATCCTTGGGTTTATAAATGGAACCATAGAATGCAAAAGTAAGGAGGTGATGCTACATCTGTACAATTCATTGGTCTGAGTACATTTGGAATACAGTGTTCAGTTCTGAGCACTTATTTATGGAAGAATGTTAAAGCCCTGGACAGAGTTCAAAGGAGATTTACTAGAATGTTACCAGGAATCAGGGATTTTAGATGCAAGAAAAGATTAGAGAAATTGGGCTTATTCTCCTTGGAACAGGAAAGATTAAGAGGTGACCATACTGAGGTGTTCAAAATTAAGAACAATTTTGACAGGATAAAAAAAGATATTTTATTTCCACTGGCGGGCATGTCAGTCGCCAGGGGTCACAACTTCAAGATTGTCAGCAAGACAGCTAGAGTGGTGGAGGTGGATTCCATATGAGGTTTTAAAAGATATATATTTGAAAGTGATGAATTTACAGCGTTACAGAGATAGGGCTGGAGAATGGGATGAGCTGGGTAGTTCTTTTGGGAGCTGGTACAGACATGATGTGTCGAAAGGCCTCCTTCTGTATTGTAAAAATCTGATTCTATGAGCTATTAGGTTAAACAGACAACAGCTTAGTTAAATAGGTGGATTTTAAGGAATGTCTTAAATATGGAAAGCAAGGGAGAGATAGGTGAAGAACTGTAGGGAGGGAAAACCAGATGCGGGACCTATGCAACTGCAAGCACAGGCACCAATGCTGGAACATTTAAAAGTGGGGATGCTCAGGAAGACAGAATTAGCTACAGATAGATATCTCAGAGGCTTGTGGGGTTGGAGGAGATTGCAAAGGTGGGAAGGGATGAGGTCACAGAAGGTATAAAAACAAGAATGTGAACCTTAAAATTAACAAGTTGCTTGAGTGGTAACTGAAGAGCATGGAGTGATAGGTGCATAGGCCTCGGATAAGATGCCCTCATTAGCTGATAATATAAAGCTGAGGCAACAAGGTTTTGGGTAAGAGATACATGAAGAAGCATGAGAAAGAAGCTTTTTAATCAGTGAGTGGTAATGACCTGAAACTCTCGAGTGCTGGAAGCAGAGGTGATGAATTATTTCAAAACGAAACCCGATGTTGTTTGAGGGAAATTAATATGCAGCGCAGTGGGCATTTCGCAGGAGAATGGGACCAGTGGGATTGTTCTGCAGAGAGGAAGCTCGGACCAGATATGCCAAAACTGAATGGTTTACTTCAGTGACCTGATCATTCTATGACTCTGAGCACAATTCAGACAAATATGTCAAAAGCTTTGGGCAAACCATGCACGAGGAGACAAAGTTTATGACCGGTGCGGTCACGCAGGATGTCTCTTAATTAATCCAGGGAGGGAAATCTCATTGTATGGATTTAAACATGGAGTTCTGGGAAATTGAGGAGCACAGATTTGGGAGGAAACAACATGTTCAAGGCCTTTGGAGAGGAACGAGAGGTTGGAGATGGGGCTGCAGTTTCAAGAACAGTGGGATCATGGATTGATGTTCTCGGTGAGAAGAATGTTGTCAGGAGAATTAAATGAGAGAAGGAACAACATGTGAAGGGAGAGAACCATTTATAATATCAGCTATCATTGGATCAGGAAGGGAAGTAAGATTACCATCAGGTTACTGGGAGTACGATCAAAGAATAGGAGGTGAGTCTCATGTATAAGTTGCGCTCAGTTAAGACATGAGGGGAGATAGGAGAGAAATTAGAGAAAGATATGAGTTTGGGACGAGGGCAGTTTGGAACTTTAAGGGACATTTGGCCTTTTCGCATTCGGAAGAGAGTGATGCAGCGGAGGGAGCTGACAGAGTTGAAAGGTTGGTCTAACCTTAGTGACAAAGAAGTCCCTGAGAAGCTTACACTTGTTTGGAGAGGCCACGGAGGGGGATTTAAAAAGATACATTGCAATTGAGAAAGAAGCCAGGGATTATCTTTGCATTCCTGGAATAGTGAGCAGTATTAGCAGATGAGAACAGGTTCCAATAGTGTTTTATGTGGTCCTACAGTATTTTGGCAGTGGATGGCTAGGGGCTGTAGCCAAGGTGAAACAGAAAGAGAGAGAGAGAGACAGTGTAATAATTTTTAATCAGCCTGTTCAGAGATGTCATTACACATCCCTGGAGCAGGTGGGACTGGAACCCAGGTCTCCTGACTCAGAGATAGGGACACTACCACCGCACCACTAGAGCCCTTAGTATTTTTTTTAGTGAATTTGGACATCAAAATCGGAGGTGAGAGTGTGGTTGAGTAAATCAGTGGCTACAAAAATGTTGTGGGAAAAGGAATGCTAAAGGTTAGACAGTTGGGATTTTGAAAGTGAATTGAGGGATTGTATCTGTTCTTGTCAGAAATTGAGTGCACTCAATATGAATTGCTTTTAGGTGAATATTATGCCAGAATTTTAATTTGTGATAGTTTTATTTCTTCCCACTAACAATTTCTGCCATATGTCTTCTCATTTTATTACATGACATTTACAAATTTCACTTCATTTAAAAGCGATTAGTTATTACCATAAGCAAATTCATATACACTTCAAACATAACCAGCTACTTAAAGTAACTTAGGTAAAATGAATTATTTTTAAAAAATCAGCACCTCAAACTATTTCTCCATTTGATTTGCATAACCCTTGGCACAAACCTTATCTATGTATAGAGAAATATATAACCAGTGGACAGTTTGGGGTAGAATTTCTTTCAGTGTTTTGCTGGGAATCTGCTGTAATTTCAGCACAAGATTGACACCAGAGATATAGTAGCAACACTCATTTATGCTGTTTCTCTGGCATTCACAATGAAGTTATGTTGGACAAATGGGATAAATTAGAAACTCTAACCACTTATCTTTCAGCTAATTTTCCCCATACTTTATCTTCAATTTGTGCACCAATAAAAAACAATGGTAAATTTGTTACCTTTTTTTGTAAGATTAAAACAGTATGACAAGTAAATTACCTGGGAAATATCCATCACTGAGTCACAACTAAGAGGCCTTGCTGATGTTAGGTCATTAGAACCAATCACAGAGGAGATGATTCCATTCTGATCAATCCGGCGAATCATTGTTCCATCGACAAAGTATATCAACCCAAATTTGTCAACAGCAATACCTGTGAAGGAAAACAATGAATAATCCAATATAAGTGTCAAAAAAGGATTTGAGTTCACTCCATATCCATGTTTTCCGTTGATTTAGCCATAAACTTGCAAACTATAAGGGGGTCATCAGAGATCCTCAAAGTCATTGTATTTGTGTCAGTAGCAGTTTAACTCAGTTGGCAAATGTCTCACCAAGGTATTTTCTGCAATGATAGAAAAATGCTCAAAATACTCAGCTGATCTTGTAGCATTTGTGGAGAGAGAAACATGGGCTAACATTTTGATTCTTTGATCTTTTATCAGAGATTATGATGAAAGTTTATTGACCTGAAATATTAACTTGGTTTCTGTCTCCCAGATGCTGCCAGACCCACTGAATATTTCCGGTTTAGTGAAGATTTTCAGCATCTGCAGTATTTTGCTCTGGTCTTCTGCAGTGATCCTTCTACTTCTCCAAGATATGTGTTCCCACAGAACGTATGTTGAAGGTTTACACAACTAACAAGCAAAGATCGAGAGGATGTTTAAAAAATACATGTGTTTCATTTCTGATAACTAGTAGAAATGTATCTGTTGAAATTTTTGATATATGTAGGTAATGAGAAAGTTCACTCACCACATAATTTGCCTCATAACAGTAGCAACTCAACCAACCCTCTTAATATCTATGGAAGACAACAGACTACAGATAGGATTTCAAATGAATTTGGGGGATGACATCTCTATGGGTTTAGTAGCAAAAGAACATGGTGACATATTGGTATTTAATCACCTATATTTATCGTTATAATGCTCAATCTCATTCTTCAACACATTTTTATCCAGCTGTTTGATGGAATTACTTGATATTGCGTTCATGTTTTGCTGCATGAAGGGAAATAAAAGTCTATAATTGGTTTTCAATCCAGGTTTGTTCATTTCATATTCTAATTTTCTGAAGAGTTTAATTGTTGGAAAATAACAATGTGACTCATTATTTTAAAGTAATTTAGATACTTTGAGCAGAACCGTATGAGGCACCAGTTTCTCCGTGCCTGACACATGCAGGGTTACACATCAGGGCGTTGGGAGGAGTGAGCCTGCCAAAGGGATCAATAGCTATGCCACAGCCATTTAACTATCACTAAGACAGGGACTCTGCCCCTCAGAGACAGTGATCCCACCAATCAGAAGCCATCAGCTCTCCAGGAGTTCTGGATTTTTGTAAGTGAGGGTTCCTTCGGTACCAGGCTTTGAGCCTCAGCTTGAGAGGGAAGGTGAGGTGGGTGGGAGGCTGGGACCTGACAGGCCACAGGCATAAGGGAACCAGAGGGACGTGGGAGGGCAGCGTTGATGGACCCACAGAGCCAGTTAATGAGGGACCCCCTGCCCACTATCAGCTGCTTAGTGTGGGCTTCTCCAACGGCTGGTGTGAACCTGAGAATGATTGGTAAGGCCCTTAAATGGGTGTTATTTGATGTTACCCACCAATAATAAAATTACAGTGGAGGAAAGGACAGCAAGTAGGCAAGGGGTATGGGTTATTTGTTGGATTTAAAGAGACTCCACCTTCAAACCCAACAGTTCAGAGTGAAATAAATTCAAGCCTATTTCTTCCAATATTTTCAAATTATGCTGCTTTTCCATTGCTTGAAAGCTAAGTTTTTTTCAATCTTATTGCTTTCTTCTGAACTTTATCAATACTTCAATGTTATTCTAGACTGCACTAAATGATTGCACCAAAATGCATATTGGGTATGGAAAAGACACAGTACTATGATCTCCTAGGCATCTGCAAACTTAGTCATTAGGTCTGTGTAAAATTATAAGAAAGTGATCATGGCCACCTTGGTCACCTAACATTAAAAATAAGCTGTATTTGGATAGGAAGCTCTACAGAGTTTATCAAAATGAGAAGTGATCTCTTTGAAACATGTAGGATTCTGAAGGAGATAGCAAGAACTGCAGATGCTGGAGTCAGAGCCAACACTGTGTTGTCTCTAGGATTCCGAAGGGGCTTGACAGGGGAAATGCTGGGAGGACGTTTCCCCTCATGGGAAGAGTCTTGGACAGAAGGCACAGTACCAATTTAATACTGATTTGAGGAGGAATTTCTGCTTTCAGAGGGTTGAGAGTCTTTGGAATTCCTTGCCACTGAGAGGTGGAGGAGAAGAGTTCTTGTGTATATTTAAGGCTGAGATAGATTGATTCTTGGTCAGTAGGGGAATCAAGAGCTCCAGGCAAAGGGCAGGAAAGTGGATGTGTGGAATGTCGCATCAGCCATGAACAGGAGCATTCTGTTCCTATTTGTTATGGTCTTAGGGTATATTAATAAGCACATGTACACTGAGCTCCCTGCTAACAGGCAAAGTATGAGTCACAATCAGAGCATCACTTTCTATCAAGTAAGCCACAGTGGCTGTACTTTGTACTCTATGTTGATGATTACTCTCAGAATGATTGCAAAACTGTAATCTGAGGAATAGAGTAGAATCATAGGTCCCTACAGTGTGGAAGCAGGTCATTTGGCCCATCGAGCCCACACTGACCTTCCAAACAGCATTCTAACGAGACTCCGACACCCTCACCCTATCCCTGTAACCATGCATTTCCCATGGCTAATCCACCCAGCCTGCACATCCCTGAACAATATGGGTAATTTAGCATGGCCAATCCCTCTGACCGGCACATTCTTGGACTGTGGGAGTAAACTGGAGCACCCGGTGGAAACCCACGCAGACACAGGGAGAATGTGCACATTCCATACAGACTGACACCCGAGGGTAGAATCTTCAAAACTGATGTGATATTGTTGGGATTTCTACAGGCTCCTAAATGCACTTTAAGTATATTTGCAATCCAAAGATAAGAATACTCCAGCTCGTCCCCGCCTCCCTAACCTGTCCTTCCTCCCACCTATCCCCTCCTCCCACCTCAAGCCCCACCCCCATCTCCTACCTACTAACCTCATCCTGCTCCCTTGACCTGTCCGTCCTCCCTGGATTGACCTATCTCCTCCCTAACTAACTCCTACACTCACGTTTACTGGCTCCATCCCCGCCTCTTTGACCTGTCTGTCTCCTCTCCACCTATCTTCTCCTCTATCCATCTTCTATCCGCCTCCCCCTCTCTCCCTATTTATTTCAGAACCCCCTTCCCCTCCCCCATTTTTGAAGGAGGGTCTAGGCCCGAAACGTAAGCCTTCCTGCTCCTCTGATGCTGCTTGGCCTGCTGTGTTCATCCAGCTCTACACCTTGTTATCTACGTAAGAATATCTACTCAGCTTTCAGGTACCAATGGTAAAGTTGTAGGGATTGATTGAATGGAGAATTTACCTCTTGGACTGGACAGAGTGGCTTCAGTTGCTTTTCCACCATCTCCACATCGAGCTTCATCAAAAGGAAGGCATTGATCTCCTGTTCCAGCCACTACCATAGCATTCTTAGTGATTTCCTTGACTCCAGTAAGGGATTTTACTTTATAGACACGTCTGCTATTGGTATCAGAGAGATATAATGATCCCGACACAGCATCCACGGAGAGGTAGTACTTGTGCGCTGGACTGTTACTAAAAGAAAATAAAATCAATGTTAAGCTTCAGATAAACTACATTCAAGTTATTCTAACGTTTACTTGTAAATTTGAATTTTGTCAATGCTGTTTGAGCTAATTGCTGTGCCTTCCAATTAGGACATGTTGCATCCTTTAAACTCTTTTAACTCATTCTGCAGCAATTCTAATTAACTTCTGGTCTTTTATGTATCTTAGTATATTTTACCTAAGGCAAACCCTTACTGATTGCCCCAGACTCGTGTACCACTCTGTTACCTCTGTTGGTTCTTAATCCTAACAGCTCTGATCAACCACACCCTTAGTCCCTCATCACAGGGTGTAGTTGATGTCAAAACATTGAATGTATTCAAGAGGCAACTAGGGATAGCACTTGGGGCAAATGGGATCAAAGGTTATGGAGAGAAAGCAGGATTAGGCTATTGAGTTGGACAATCAGCCATTATCGTGAAGAATGACAGAGCAGGCTTGAAGGGCCACATGGCCTCCTCCTGTACCTATCTTCTACGTTTCTATGTTTCTATTAATGCCTTTGAATCACATTTACCTGACACACATGTGCACTTGTTCCTCTCTCCTGTGGGTCCTTCAGGCTGAGCCCTACAGTTAATTAGTTTTCCCTGTGAACTCAGAGAGGTTTACCCCACAGAAAAAGGCCATTTGGCCCATTGTGCTCACACAAGTAAACAAAGATCTCATCCTATTTTCCAGCTCTTGGCCCGGAGATGTGGAGGCAATAGCAATGCAGGTGAATACTGAAGTACTACTTAAATGTTGTGGGAGTTTCTTACTCAACCAATCTTTCAGGCCAAGCATTCTAGACTCCAACTACCCTCTGGATGAAAAAAGAAAATCCACAACTCTCCTCTTAGCATTCTATCTTTTACATTAAATCTATGCCCCCAATTACTGACTCCTCTACTAATCATAAAAGTGCCTTTCTATCCTCCCTATCTATCCCTTCACAATGTTGACCACTTTCAGATCCCATCTCAATCTTTGCTGCTCCAAGGAAAACAATTTCAGTATATCCCATCTTTCCTCACAGAACACACCCTCCAGCCTAGGCAGCATCCTACTAAATGTCCTTTATGACCTGTGTCGCGCAAATCACATCTTTCTGATAATGTGGAGATCAGAACTGCACGCCGTACTCTAATTATGACATAACCAGCATTTTGTAGACTTTCAGCAGAAACTCCTTGCTCTTGTACTCTATTAAAGTGCAAATATTACATATGCGTTTTTACTCACCTTAGTTACCTGCCCTAGTATCTTCTAAGGATCTGTGGATGTGCTTACACATCAAGTCCCTCCGATCTTCATTGCTTTCGATAGTCTTACCATTTGTTGTGCAATCCCTTATATTGTTAGCCTTTCTTATGTGTATTACTTCACACCTTTACTTCTGTTGACTAAAGTCCAGGTATTTACTGAATTAATATATCTGATATCATAACCCCTTTTTATCTGCTGGCATATTTTTGTTTAGTTAATTTTATCCACTATTTCTTCAAGCTATTTAGTTTCTACTTTCTCACTATTTGTTCTGTTTCTCCTCATTCTGTGTAAAGTGATGTTAAAATCATAAACCCCTCTTTAAAATTAATTTCTTTCTCTGAGTTCTGTTTCTATTTTTGACTGTCGCAATCTCAACCCACTATCTTTCTGCTTATTCTTTCCCTCTTCCTTTACTTTCACCAACATTTTTAAAGATACCTTCCTTTTCCTATTCCTGTCTCACTTCCTCCTCTTGTATCTTCTCATTAATTTTTTCTCGACTCCCTCCTTAATGTCTTTGTTTCACTTGTTACAATAGTGCATGCGCTCACTTCAGCCTCCAGCAATCGTCAGTTCTATTTTCCCAGTCAACTCTGCCCACCCCACTGAACAAACTTGTAACACTTATACATTTGACCATTCTTCTATCCCTCTAATCCTGCATCACTTTTGTATTTCTCTATAAACCTCACTGCAACATTGCTCTGTGATTCCACTACACTTTTGCACTGTTCTACAATTCCTTATATCTCATTTTTACCCATCATTTTTAAAATACTGTTTCTGTCCAGAATCAATGATTCTCCACTTTAATCCTTTGACCTGAAAATTGCACAGCGTTAAATTTTTGTAATGGTTTGATTGATGAAAAGTAACCATATTTTAAATGTGATACGTGCAATTCATTCAAAACATTCTTGGGAGCCTTGCCCGGATGGACAACCCATTTACCTCTAGTTACACTGATACATAACTGCACTGTGATGTAAGTGTCCAATGTCAAGTTGTGTCACATGTTGGTTGTCGCAGGTTCAACCTGCCTGGAATCACACACAACAGGTGTTATTGTGCAGTTAAACAGATTTTTAATGTCTTGGTTCTTCTTTCCTTTTTAAAGTATAGAAATTTTAACTTAGGAAAATAAAATAATTGACTTGATACTTATTTTTCGAGTCTTTGAGTCAGCCAGTTTACTTTCCCAGGTGAGGGTCTGTTGCGATATCTGATCCTGTCATCTTAGTTTTTTTTCAAACGTTATGTACATATTTGGAACATGCCTAAGCCTTTCATACTGCCTTATTTTTAAAAAATATGTTGTGATTTTGTTTTATTTGTGACACACAGTGGTATTTGTTGCTATATCTCTGCTTCTGCCTGTATATCTGAAGCCACTACAGTGATGAGGAAGGGTCACCGGACCCGAAATGTTAACTCTGATTTCTCTCCACAAATGCTGCCAGACCTGCTGAGCTTTTCCAGCAATTTTTGTTTTTGTTTCTGAATTCCAGCATCTGCTGTTCTTTCAGTTTTTAATCAGTATAAACCATCTTGCTCAGTTACTTTAGCAACGAGTCACATATAACAAATAACATTTCTGATTAGTAAATAAACAAGTTACAGACATTGTTATTGAGTACCGGGTCTTAATACTCAAGTTATTTGTATAATGTATGCATATGTACTTAACTTTTTGTGCATTTATTGGAAAAACATGAAGACCAAAAGTAGAGTAGGCATGTGCTTTTTAAAAATCATTCTGAGCGCTACTTTCATGGTTAATGAATGATGATAGATTATTGTAAAACAAATGGCACAAATGAGGTACATTAGCCTGTATTTCTAGAGTGCATAAAAGGCATTTTCTACCAAAACTACTGCTTGTGACTTTAGAAGCATTGGTGTAACCACATTTGTAGGTGGCCACACCACAGTTGTGTCTATGTATTGGCACCAAAATTAGAGTTCTCAAATCCATCTAATGAAGAAAGAGAATGGACAGTTCTGCTGACCATTTGCTAGCAGAAGGTGACTGATCTATCAGTCTTAATGAATGAGGCACTGCATTTCACTGTATTAAATAAGGGACAATCCTAATTTGCATACCAATGTGGAAATCATGATATTTTCTGTAACAATATCTGACACAATAAAGTGTATCAATCAAATGCTATCTTTGGGATTGAGCTCACTAATCTTGTTTCTATTCATTTGCTTTCATGGTGTGAAATGCTTCAATTTAACTGATCATTGTGCAATAACTCCAGGGGTCTCTTACTAAACTTCCCAAGAATATTAAAGTTACTCGTGTAATTTATTATTTTTTTCTTCGATGCTATCTTGGTGCTTTCATATGAAGACAAAATGAAATCTCAACTTTCAACAATGTACCTTCAATGATTTACCTTGTCAGACTCAAACACAACTGAGCTCCCTCCCCAAACGCTGCTGGGTGATGACAGTGAGAGAATAACAATGGTATTATTAATTGGACTCTCCATGTCTGCACTATTCCATTTGCTTCTCCCAAGACTATTATATCTTTATATCGGAATTCCTTGACCTTCAAAGATATCAAGGTCATTACTGTATGGTATGAAATGCTCCATTTATATTCATTTTACAAAGATACTCCAAATGATTGATGTGCACAGCAGTATTATCTGATTTTCTCTCTTAACCAGAGAGCAGTTCCACTCTGCCTATCACTAGCACAGTATAATAAATGCAGCTAATTTTCACAGACCAGACTGCTGCTTTGAGTGATTTTGCAAAACAAATAAGCCTATTATCTAACAAAATTAAGTCATACATATAATTCCCTTACCTGTGCCTGAAATCTTTATTTCTGACAGAAGACAGGTACAGATGAGACAGAAAAAGGATTCAATATTAGTTTTGTTTTCAGAAAATCATAAATATCAAGAAGAATATTGAAAGCAAAGACAGATTAACATAGGTCAGTTCATAAGGTTAAAAATACTTTTCAGAACGCAAAGTGGAGATGATTGAAAATTGAAGCTTTTAGTTTTTCAGCAACCTTCATCAATTTTGCTCCCAATTATTTGATGAGAAGAATACTTTGTTTGAGAAACCAGTTAACTCTGGTACCAGAAAAACATTTTTTCCTAACTTAATATGCAAGCCTAGTCTATCCCATTACGTAATTCTCCCAAAAATACTGATTTAGTAGGAACATACTTTTGTAGCTATTGAAGTTAGAAGAGACAGGTCTTGCGTAATACCAATGCTAGAACTAATCTTTCACAAACATTCTTCCGAACCATCTGAAATATCTGTTTGGGTCAATGTTTGGACAGAACACGGAAATATTAAGTAATCAAGTGGATTGTTTAGTCCTTCAGCTTGCTCCATGATTAACGGTTGGTCTGTCTTCAAAACCACTTATGTGCCTATGCTTCATATCCATTCAAAGCCTTCCCTAACAAAAATAAGAAAGGATATTTCATAGACTGATTTTTGACGTGGTTGCTGTAATGTGTATGTTCACTAGGAAGTAAACATTAGTTATTGTGTGACTTGTGTCACCTTGCTTACTGGTGATCTGACTGTACAAATATTTATTCCTCAATACTGTGGTCAGGGGTTCCAGAATACGGATTAAAAGTGCTAAGTAACATTCACATTGAACAAGTGCCAAAAATGACTATCTCCAACAAGGCCAAATCTAAACACTGAAGAAGGGTCTAGGCGCGAAACATCAGCCTTCCTGCTCCTCTGATGCTGCTTGGCCTGCTGTGTTCATCCAGCTCTACACCTTGTTATCTCAAATCTAAACACTTCCTGTTTGAGATTAATCACAATGCTATGCTGAATCCTGCTTCAGACACTGACCTGACATCTGACTGGACTAGCTAATAAATGCTGTAAGCATGCTCACAGATAGGCATGGAGCTGACCTTTATAACGAAAACCTTTTATTGAACTAAGTGCACTATATACATATCAGGGAAAGGTCTTTGCACAACCATCCTACAGTAAGACCTCCAAAATACTGGCCATCAAGTGATCTGAGATCACAGCTAGTGATGTCATCAGTTATCCTATTGATAGCTGCTTCCTTGAGACTACACCTCTCACCAAATATTCATCTGTCCCTGAATGTTTACATCTTTTCATCATTAATTTGTGTTCCTGAATGTTTATGCTGCTGTTCATTAAGTAGTGTCCCACTCTCCTCACCACAAGGTTTCCTGTGACAGGTTTCATTGCTGACCATATTCTCAGACCTCTGGGTGGACCAGTAAGATGGAGGGCTGTCCTCTTTGGAGCAAAGAAAAACATTGTCCGTTCCATTTTCTTTACAGACATGGTGATTGTGGCCTAGTGCTTGTGCAGGTTGGGTGAAACTTCTGTCATGTTTTTTCGGGTTGTCACTTGGCTGAGTGTAGTCGGACAACATCCAGTCCAGCATGTGCATGGCATGACTACAGTATAACGTGTCTAGTGAGGGGTGGCTTGGGGCCATTTCACACATCTTTGGTGGTGTATCATGTGCTATTTCCATGCTGGGGTTGAACTGTGCAGCACCCACTGCTGCAGGATCCCTGGGTTTGGTTGGGTTGCTTTTATTTTACTGTCTAGTGCGATTGTTACCCCAGCAATGTCAACTGGTGAATGGATGGTTCCTTCAGCTCCTTGTGTCTTGGCATCCTGAGGAGGTAGGCAGTCTGTGCTTGCCTGAGACTTGGTCTCTTGGGTAGCCCCTTCATTGTTCTCTCCCAGAGTGGGCTGTAGGGGGAATCCTACTTTTGCCAAGATTCTTTCAAGCCCTTCCCTGGGCTCGTCTGAGGTACTTCTGGGTTCATACTGAGTATTCTCTTCACTTTGCAAAATGTTTCAATCTTTCAGCTACTACTTAGTTGGCTAGTTCGTTCATAGTTCGCTAGTCCTGCAAGGCTTCAGTCATCCTTGTTCTTGGCTTTCCCACATGTAGTCTGGTTCTGCTCCTGTCAATGTATCAGGGGTTATGGCTGCATCAGCAGGCTCATTATGGAGTGAGTGATTCTGGGGCTCTCTAGAAGGGCCTGTTGCTGCATTGGGCTGTGCTATTTCTATGACATCTTGGAGATTGCCCTCTTCATGCACTCCTTAAAGAGCAGTGCCAGATCCAGAGTCTCTCACTCTAGCTGGTTGCCATTGTAATTGGCATCTACCTGCATGTTTGTCTATTCATTTCAAAAGGGTGACATATTCATCTGACTGCTAGTGTGGAATGTCGTCAATAGAGGCTGCTTTCTAGTGGTCTGGACATGTGGTGTTTTCCCTATGACCGATGAGTAAACAAAGCCACACAGGCTTCCTTGCTCATAAAGACTAATGTTGAAATCACTGATAAGGTCTGTGGAAACTCATAGTCCCTTGTACTGGAGTCTCTCAGTCATGTGGTCCAAATCCTTCACTGAAGATCCCAATGGGCCATGAAGGCAGGCTGTAGAGGGATAGAGGACCTCTGATCTCAACCCAAGTACTGGAGACAATGGAGAACCTTCTTTATTTGAGTTTAAATGTTGTTTTGTGTTTGTTGATGTAGAGTTCCACGGTCTCTAAATCCACTGTCATCTGGCCACCTCTGCTAGGAAAGGCACTTTAAATAACAGTGAGATTGCTAATGGATCTGTTGTGCTTGGGTGTGGATTTGGAGGTGGAAGTTGTTTGCTGCAGCAAGCTGTTTCAAAATGGTTTCTCTTCCTGCAGCCATGACAGTCCTCATTAGCTGCAGGACATACTTTGTGCTTGCAAGCTCTCTTTGTGCCTCAATAAGTACTGGTGGCCAAGTCATCCTCTTCTGCCTGGTCTGTCTGCTATCTGGTATGTTGAAACTCCTGCCATTGATGAACTGTACTGACTCTATAACTGAAGATTCGTATTCTTTTATAATGGGGTGCTTGACATGTTTTCTCAGCTTCCAGCCTTTGGCTAGTTGCACTCATTTTGACAAAGTTTTCTCTGGATGGCAGAAAGTCTGACAGGGCTCATCGTGCCATCCCACAATGATTTGGTCTTGGATTACTAGTCTCTCAAGGGTCTGTCATTGCAATTGTGTGTGAGCAGGTACAAATATTCCCAAATAAGTCTCTGTACTCCTCTGGGTCCTGGCACATTATTGAGCTTAAGCATGATCAAACACAACATTTTACCTCAAGTCAAAGTACTCATCAAAAGCCTTCAGCAGTTGGTCATACGTTATCGAGTCCCCAGTGATCCCTTGTCTAATCAGTACATTATCAGTGCAGCAGCCTATAAGAACATACTGGTCTGTTCTCTTCTGGTTTGTGTGAGAAAGCTGAGCAAACTCTGAACTGTTCAAACCTTTGGCACTGTGCTGTACAATCTGGGTGTAAGCTCTCCATGTGGTTTAGTCACTCGGGTTCTCAATATTCACTATGTAGTCCTCAGATTCCATGCAATATCAATGGAAAAATATAAATTCCTTGGTGGAAAAATTAAATCTCTCACTATCTAATAAAAGGCTCCATCATACACACTATCGCATACACTGAGGAAAAATAGTATTCTGATATGTGAAATAAAATCTTGAAACACTTAAAATCCTACTGGCTGCTGTCAGTAAATCAGAAACCATATCAAATGAGCAATGTGTTACCAGAACTTCTCAAAACTGTCATTCATTCTCAGATGAATGGAATATTAATGAAAACCATTAGAACTTGAAATTTGAGCCACAAATATATAATGGCCACAGTCATCCAAAAATAGTGATGGAAAGAACAGTCATTGCAATTTTAAAGTGGGTCCCAGTAAATCAGTGGGTGGTGGCAGGTGGTAAGATTTTTTTTAAGTGACAACAACAGTTTTGCTTTCTATCAGCTAAAATGCTCACACAGTTTAAATCACAGTACAAAGAAAAGTACATGCTGACTGAACACTTTGTAATGTTTTCCGTTGCATTATGGTCCTATTTCCATTGGAAAAATATTATAATACATCTGAACAACTACAAAATGCTGATCAATGTAGGAGGTCAATATATCTTTTCAGGACAGATCCCTATGATGAAACACTTAATTAAAAACACATCTACCTCACAACACAGCTCCTTATAGTGACATTTGAAGGCAAGAAGCATGGTACAGTTAAGTTTCAGACTGCTTCTGACTCCTATCAGGCTTTCCATTTTCCTCCATAAACCTTCAAACCTGACATACTTTTAATGACCTTCCAAAACCCAATCCCAGCAATTGAAAATGTTGTGTGGGAGGAAACTCTATTTATTCCCCAGTTCAAAATGGGTAACCTGGCCTTGGCAGGGGTGAGGGTGCACTTTGGACATTGCGTATTCCTGAACTGCAAAAGAACAGAGACATATTGCTCGTGGGTGGAAATGTAGAGGAAAATGATTTCCTCCAAAACAAAATCAAAGTATGGTTATTCGTGCACCAAAATGTCCCTCCACACACAAATAAAAATTTGGTTGCTGGTAACAGATTTCCCCTCACTGTTTATTAGTTAATAATAGAAAGCTACAATGGAACTAGATATACATTTTTCTTAATGTTAAATGGAAGAAGTTGGGAAAGAATAAAGGATAGATGCAAATAAAGCATTAAAAACAGAACAATATATTGCTCTGAAGAAAGAATTTTCTATTTTTGGTATCACAGGTAACACAATTATTATTCCAAAAAAACACATTGCCACCAGGGCGCTTTTCTTCCGGTAACAAAATATTGCAACTTATTTAAAAAAAATAGTATTCACCAGAGCACGTGCCCTTAATTATATTGTTCATGAGCCAAAATCGTCTAATTTTTTCTCCGCTGTTAAGTGTCTAACTCACATTGCCTAACCTGGGACATAAAAAATACATATTTTCCATCATTCTACAATGCTATATGTTAATTCACCCAAATATCATCCTTATCAGGATATAGTTCCCTTAATTTTAGTGCCACTTTTGTGACTGAATAACACTGCATAACTTAAATGAGTTAAGATCAGTGTCTGGAGTTAGCATACCTTAGCTCCAGTATATTAATGACATTGCCTGAGGGGAAGATCCTACGAACATAATTAAAATCACCAACATAAATGCTTCCATCTGATCCACATGTCAGCGCAACTGGTGCAAGGAGCTTGTTCCCAGTTGCGAGGCCATTGCAGCTTGGACATGAAATGCTACGTCTTCGCCCATTTCCGATGATGCTTCCAATGACAGGTGGCTGCTGGGATATAAAATTATTTTCCCCGTTTCCTTTGTGCAAAATACCTGCAACAAAATAGTTAAATATTAATATTTGAATTTAATAGTATAAAACAGCAAATAAAGTTATGAATGCAGCTGCACTACCAGTACTGCAAGCACTTAACCAATAGCAAATCCTTTCAACAATAAGTCATGTTATCATAGCAGTGAGCTCAAATTAGTGCTTTTGCATGATTTTTATTCATTGCTTACTTTGTGAATATCTCTAACTTGTAGTGATGTCTAAACTAGAAACTTTTGATGATCCTAGAGATATTAGAGATATGAAGAGAAATATGCCAGAAAGAACTGAAAGATAAATTTCTAGTTCTAATTCTACACCTTTGAAAACAAAAGACAGCCAACTTTAATAGGTACCCTCAGTTAACTGCTTAGCTATCTTTTTTCTTTCATATGTAACTGTCTTGATCATTTCTTCTACCCCAAATTTTTATATTCGATCAAGACCAAGTGGCCTCCTCCTGCATTGTAACAATTCTGTGATTCTGATTCTTATTTGGTGCATTGCCCTGCTGAATAAATGCAATATTGGCAGAAATGAACTATTCGTCTCTGTTAGCAATATTAAAAAAAAAGGAACCAAGGATTAAAATATGTACATTACCTTTTAAGGAATTCCAAACCTTTTGGTCACTTTCAACAATTCACAATTGAGAACAAAAAAACTTTGATGAGTTAAATTTTAAATGCTGATAAATTTACACTTTTTTTTGGGGTACTATGGAATTTGAATCCCATTGTTTTCCAATGCAATCCACTGAGCTTGATGAGGTTCATGGTTTGGATTTTGCAATTGCGTGAGTATGGCTCCTTTAAGTTTTATTTTGGTGAGCTTCCAGTGGTATTCCTATTTCTCTTAGGCCTCTGCCTTGTGTGAACGAAAGGGAAAATGAGTACACCACCCGCCCTGGCATAGTGCACCATGTCTAGCAGCCGTTCTTTTCCCTCTTGCCCCGGAATCAATTCCTATATGGAATGTCATTTTGGAAGTCCCTGCATGAAGGGACCTACTGTATTATACTCCCCTCCCCCCACCACTGGCTGTGCAATATCCCCAAACTGAGGGAGTAGGTCAGGGAAGTCAGGGATTAACTGTCGGGCCTAGCAGGCTTCCACTGATTGTGAGGAGGGATGTGCAAGTGTTGGGTTTTAGAAGCCTGGATGGGAAGCAGCCATAAAGTGACAATAAAATATGATCTGGGCACAGGGTTCTGTCCATGATGGGCACAGAGAACGCCATCAAAAGAAGTACCCACTGAGCCTGTCTGCTGGCAGCTCACATAGTGAAACTAACCAGAATTCATAAATTCTTGTGAAAAATAAGAATAGATATTACTGAAAATACTCAGCAGGTCTGCCATATGCCACCTGGAAAGAAACAAGTTAATATTTTGGTGCAAACGCTTTGAATCCACAGACAAAATATATAATTATCTTTTCTCTTTTTAGATGCTGATAAAACCATTGTGTATTGCTAGCAATTTCTTTTTATTTTACAGGAAGGTCTTTACAGTGGGAAATGGGTTATCTGTCCCCACATTCCTCCATGAGCAACGCACTGATCAGAAACTTGTTGGCCTGCAATATTTTGTGTTCGGCCCAGCCTTAACTGGTTCAGAATGAGAATTTTGTGCTCACATACGAGGATATCCTGACCAAAGAATCTGCCACAGCCAAGTATCAGTAGCATCAGATGCAGGGAGTAGTGACTTCTGGGATGATAAGAAATTCAGGAAGAAAAGCAATGGGGGTTCCCCAAGTTTAGGAAAGTCAGGGATTATTTGTCTGGCCTTGCAAGCTCCCAGTGATTGTGGCGAGGGACGTGGGAGAGTTTGGTTTTAGCAGCCTTGGTAGGAAGGAGCCATAAAGTGGCAATAAATTACAGTGTACGCACAAGGATCTATCCATGATTGGCACAGGGAACTTGCTCAAAAGAAGTACCCATCCTGCCTGTCTGCTGGCAGCTCACACAGTGAAACTAACCGGGTTGCTTGCTTTACCTTGTTTTTCCCAAGACAGGGAAAATCTGTGAAGGAAGTGGAATGAGGCCCTCAAGTGGGTAATTTAGGACTTCAAGAGGCTAATTTAGGACTTCAAGAGGCTTAACGGCTGAGTGACACCTCACCAGCCCACTACAATATGGCAGACAGGTCAGGGGTGAATGGGAAGGCAGTGGGAAAATTACTCATTCCATTTTCTGAACCGTCACTTCCCCAATTTTGTTTCTGGCTGGCGGGGATAGGTGGGGGAAGAATTAAAATACACCCCTTTATTTAAGATTTCAACATTCTACATTTTACAAATATGTAGTTTCAATTAAACAAAATGGCTAAAGTGTGTATTTTTTCTTCTGACATTATTGCAGTGAATGTTGTACTGTTGACTTACTACTTCGTATGTTGAGGGCATGGTGTTTGTCTAAGGTCCATCCACCCAGGTTAGATGCATCTAACTCATAGCCTTGTAGAACAGCAGTACGTTTCTCCCAGAGTATCAGGTCTGGACATGATTCATATTCATAGCCCACAGACACTGCAAGGGTACAATTGAAATAGGTTAAACAGATGCACAAAATATTATAGAAAGATCTATTAAAAATTAAATTCCATTTTAAAATAGCCTCATTAAACATCATCAAAATACTTTGAAAATGGGGACAGATGCAGCATTTAACTCATATGAATATGGTCCTTCATCTCGGGAGATCCAAGTGTGAATTTGGCTCAGATATAAGAGAAAAGGTCACCTCCCACAAATGCTTGTTAAGTGACAGACTTGAAGCAAGATTTAGCAATTGTATTAAAGAAATCAGTGGCTTATGTGTCTGCATAATAATGATCAAATGTGCCTTTGAAAGAGACAAAACTTGTAAAGTACTGTTAGCATGATTATAGTCGATAAGGTTGACGCTTCACATCACTGAAAACATGTTAATCCCACACCCCCATCCCCCACCAATGACACTGGGTTGAGGCAGATGGACAGCATAAATGTTAAAAAGCTCAAATCCAATCCCGAGCTTCCTATTTTGTTTCACTGGAAACAACAGACAGAGGGTGGTGGCGGAGGGTTGCTTTTCAGACTGGAGGCCTGTGACCAGTGGTGTGCCAGAAGCATTGGTGTTGGGGCCACTGTTTATCATCACTTATATATATGGTTTGGATGTGAACAAAGGAGGTATGGTTAGTAGTTTGGAGATGACACCAAAATTGGCAGTGTAGTGGACAATGAAGGTTACCTCAGAGCACAAAAGGACCTTGATCAAATGGGCCAATGAGCTGAGGAGGAGTGGATGGAGTTTAATTTAGATAAATGTGAGGCGCTGCATTTTGGAAAGGCAAATCAGAGCAGAACTTTTACACTTAATGGTAAGGTCCAGGGGAGTGTTGCTGAACAAAGAGACCTTGGAATGGCAAGTTCCTTGAAAGTAGAGTCAAAGGTGGACGGGTTAGCGAAGAAAGCATTTGGTACACTTGCCTTTATTGGCCAGTCAATTGAGTATAGGAGTTGGGAGGTCATGTTGCGGCTGTACAGGCCATTGGTTAGGCCACTCGGAGTACTGCATTCAATTCTGGTCTCCCTGCTATAGGAAGGATGTTGTGAAACTTGAAAGGGTTCAGAAAAGATTTACAAAGAGGTCCACAAGGTTGGAGGGTTTGAGCTATAGGGAGAAGCTGAATAGGCTGGAGATATTTTCCTGGAGCATCAGAAGCTGAGGGGTGACCTCATAGAAGTTAATAAAATCATGAGGGCCATGGATAGTGTGAATAGCCAAGGTCTTTGCCCCAGGGTGGGGGAGTCCAGAAGTAGGGGACATAGGTTTAAGATGGGAGGGGAAAGCTTTAAAAAGGGACCTAAGGGGCAACTTTTTCACAAAGAGAGTGGTTTCACAAAGAGAGTGGTACATGTACGGAATGAGCTGTCAGAGGAAGTAGTGGAGGCTGGTATAGTTACAACATTTAAAAGGCATCTGGATTGGTATATGAATAGGAAGCATTTTGAGGGATATGGGCCAAATGCTGGCAAATGGGACTAGATTAATTTAGGATGTCTGGTCGGCATGAATGAGTTGGTGAGTTGGATCAAAGGGTCTGTTTCCATGCTGTACAGCTCTATGATTCTAAATTGGAGGACTGGCAGGGGGTGGGGGCGTGCAGTGATTTCATATTCAGTGGTCCTCAGTCCAGTCGAAGGGGATAGTTTTTGCTCAGGGAATCCAGGCAGGCACAGTAAATCAAGGGCAGCCTCCCATACCATTTCAGGCCCTGTTCCAGCCACAGCCACTCATAACGGATGAGGAGTCAAAAGACTGGCAGTACAACACATGCCTTGTCTCTTTTTGTCCTATTATAAGCTGCTTTCCTCCTGCAGTGAGAGAAAAGTGGGTGACAGGGCTATTACTGTTGGCACAGGAGGAAAGTTTCTTGAGTGAATAAACAGGCAGCACAGGGGTTGTGCAGGGTTAGTGGTGTCACAGTTTGGTGTGGGTGGGGATGATGTTACAGGCAACAGTGAGAGTGGTAAAGCATGAGCCTTGGTAGGAAGTGGGTGCAGGAGGAAAGCCAGAATGAATGTGAGGCATAAATGGGAGAATTGTTAGCACTTAGGCTGGGAGAGTGGAGAAGGACATTGACCATCTTCCTACAGTGCTGGGCATTCCTTCAGATGGCTGTGATTGCTTCAATTGAGTGGCAACTTCAGGCCAGGCTGGCATTGTCTCATATCGTGGCATCCACTGATAGCCCTGGGGAAGAGAAAGTCCTGGCTGTGCACATCCTGTCCAGTAGGATTTACAGGAGTTGGATGTCCTGTGTTTGCCATGTTCAGGGCAAATGTCAGAAATTGTGCAGGTGTCTCCAGACTAGCAATGCTTGTGAAGGTGCACAAGAGCATTTTAAATATGGTCCCGGTGCCAGGGATGAAGTTCAGTTCTGGGATCTCTAGAAACAACGAGTTGCTCCAGGGAAAGCACGTGGTACTATAATGTGGAGCTGGGTATGATTCTCACTGCAACAGCCTACACATCAATTAAAGTGATGAGTTTGCTAAGATGTAAATATAAAATATAAATACAGTGAATACGAGTGCTGGTCAGAGGTTATGGATACTGTAATGGGTAACTCACTTCCTGACTCCCCAAAGTCTGTCCACCATCTGTAAGGATGGAAAATTCCTCACTTACCTGGATGGGTGCAGCAATCATGAAGTTTGCCACCATTCAGGAGAACGCCCTCAACCGTATCTCCCACATCTCCCGCAACTCATCCCTCACACCCCATTCACGCAATAAGAACCAAAAAAGAATCCCCCTCATCCTCACGTACCACCCCACCAATCTCCGGATCCAACGCATCATCTTCCAACACTTCCGCCATCTGCAATCCGACCCCACCACCAAAGACATCTTTCTCTCCCCACCCTTATCTGCTTTCCGGAGGGACCACTCTCTCCGTGACTCCCTTGTCCACTCCACACTCCCCTCCAGCCCCACCACACCCGGCACTTTTCCCTGCAACCGCAGGAAGTGCTACACCTGCCCCCATCCCAGGCCCCAAGAAGACTTTCCACATCAAGCAGATGTTCACCTGCACATCTGCCAATGTGGTATACTGCATCCACTGTACCCGGTGTGGCCTCCTCTACATCGGGGAAACCAAGCGGAGGCTCGGGGACCACTTTGCAGAACACCTACGCTCGGTTCGCATAAACAACTGCACCTCCCAGTCGCGAACCATTTCAACTCCCCCTCCCATTCCTCAGACGACATGTCCATCCTGGGCCTCCTGCAGTGCCACAACGATGCCACCCGAAGGTTGCAGGAACAGCAACTCATATTTCGCTTGGGAACCCTGCAGCCCAATGGTATCAATGTGGATTTCACAAGCTTCAAAACCTCCCCTCACGCTACCGCATCCCAAAACCAGTCCAGCTCGTCCCCGCCTCCCTAACCTGTTCTTCCTCCCACCTATCCCCTCCTCCCACCTCAAGCCGCACCCCCATCTCCTACCTACTAACCTCATCCCGCCCCCTTGACCTGTCCGTCCTCCCTGGACTGACCTATCCCCTCCCTAACTCCCCACCTACACTCACCTTTACTGGCTCCATCCCTGCCTCTTCGACCTGTTTGTTTCCTCTCCACCTATCCTCTCCTCTATCCATCTTCTATCCGCCTCCCACTCTCTCCCTATTTATTTCAGAACTCCCTTCCCCTCCCCCTTTTCTGATGAAGGGTCTAGGCCCGAAACGTCAGCCTTTCTGCTCGGCCTGCTGTGTTCACCCAGCCCTGCACCTTGTTGTCTCGGATTCTCCAGCATCTGCAGTTCCTGCTCAAACAGCCCACTTGATTGGCACCACATCCACAAGCACCCAATTCCTCCATTGCCAATGCTCAGTAGCAGTAGTGTGTACCATTTACAAGACACACCAGAGGAATTCACCAAAACTCCTTATACAGCACCTTCCAAGCCCACGGCCATTTCCATCAAGAAGGACTAGGGCAGCAGATACTTGGGAACACCACCCTCTGCAAATTCTCCTCCAAGGCACTCACCATCCTGATGTGGAAATATATCACCGTTCCTTCACTGCTGCTGAGCCAAAATGCTGGAATTGTCTTTCTAACACATCGTGAATCTACCTCCAGCACATGGCCTGCAACAGTTCAAGAAGGCAGCTCACCACCACCTTCTCAAAAAACAACTAGGGATGGGCAATTAATGCTGACCATCCAGCAATGCCCACGTTCCACAAGAGAAAAAATGGCAAAAAAATACACACGGCTTCTCAGTGTGATTCACTCCATCAAACTCAAAATGGCTTGTGTTTCACCAAAAAATGATAAGATTCTGCCCAAAGAGACTTTACCTCCAGTGAAGAAGTTGAAAGGACATAGAAAAAAAAGACTGATAAACAGAAAGTACTGGCAATCAAAAGCATCAGCTCAGAGAACCTTTTGGACTGGGGCCATCAAACTAATTCCCCAGTTTCTTTCCTCCACCTTTTTTTTTCCAGTATCTTTGTCTATGTGTATGCAGGGAGGCTTTCTCAAGGGGTTGGAGTTTTGACTGGTAGAGTTAGGTATAGACAGATTACAGCTATTCACTTGTGCTTAGAATCTATTTATTTGTAATAAATAGGGGCTCTTGTTAAATCCAGAAACCTGGTCCACGCTCTCTATTTGCCAAGGGGAATCCAACAGGACTTGATGTACTTTGATACCATTTTTAACTTATGTTATGACTCTGGGATTAGCAGGGCTTGATTTCCAGTGTACTACACCAGTGAGGCGTGACACTGTTCTTTATTTTAAGGGAGTTAGTAAACCATTTAGAAGAAGCAATTTAATGTAAAATATCAAGATTCCACTTCCACTCCACATTTCTAACCTGTCATTAACACAACTTCCATAACAATACTGAAACCTTTAAGCAGAGAGGGTTTGAAGATGGTGCAGTGAAGGCAATCTTTTTGTTATTAATGAACATTAACATAGTTCTACTGGCATTTTATATTTGTAGAACTTGAATTTAAAGGAGAAAACTGCTCCACCTACTTTAGGTGGCAGTTTGCCAAGGTATCATCTTGTTTTGGAGTTAAGATGAAACAAATTTGATGCTTAATCCCTTCCTAGGACACATTTACTGTTACTACTAGAATTCTGGAAGGAATAATTAGAAAATGTGGGATCACACTCATCAGAAGCAGCATGGATGAAATAAAGTAACCACGAGAATGTTGTAATTGTGATACAATGAGAGGTCTTAAAACTTTCCTCAATTCATCTGTCAATCTTTCCGTAGTTAAACAAAGCAAAGTAGTGCTTAATGATGAAGAAGAAAGTATAGCAATATAAAATGCTCAACTTGTGATTAAAATGATTTGTAAGATCAGCATTAAAAATAATGGGTGATTTTCCAGTAGCTAGATTGTTGTGGAAGCAGTGTAGTTTGGAGCTATGCACTTGGAAGCTGCCGAATCCCTGACATGGCATAATCTGTGGGAAGTTCCTAGGAAATTGAAGATTTCAATATGCAATTCTAGTACATCTGGAACCTTCTGAAATAAAATGCTTTAACATCCGAGAATTCAGAACGTTCTGCTTCCGTTAAGCTAACAGTTACCCAGGAAAAATTGGACTGTTAGAAAGTTTAATCCTTGGGGAATTATTAAAACGAACACCCAATTTACACATCACATCCCTTACAATGGCTCCCTCCACACCTCTTAAAAACTCATCCTCTTCCTCCAGGACCTGGCACCAAATCATTCACCACCCACCAGTCCTGACATCCCCCCTGCCAGCCCCAATATCCCCCTTCCCTAAAAGCCCTGACATGCCCTCAGTCAAACCTGAACACTCCATCACTTAACCTGGCACGCAATCCACCTGGTACCCTACACCAAACACCCTATTACCTTAACTAACTGCCACCCTAACCCAACGCTTACCTACATGTTGGCCCTTTCACAGCAGCTGTCAAAGTGCTTCGTTGGAAATTTTATTCAACAGAATGAAGCAAACTGATCACTGAAAAAGGGGAACGTGGTTTGACTTCCCCCTACTCTCCTGCATTGGGGGAAGCTGTGTTGATTTCCTGTGTGCTCCACAATTTTGTAGGAGCTGGAATTGGAATTCCTGGCTCGCAATGTGGAGCTCTGAATTCACATTGAAAATTATGAAAGGAGTGGCAATGTGACTGTGCTGTCAATCCTCAAAATATCCTAGCCAATGATTTGGAAGCACGTTGGATACAGTATTATAGAGTGATAGAGTCAGAACCATATAGCACGGAAACAGACCCTTCGGTCCAGCCCGTCCATGCTGAACATAATCCCAAACTAAACTAGTCCCACCTGTCTGCTTTTGGGCCAAATCCCTCCAAATATTCCTTCTTCATGTACTTATTTAAATGTCTTTTAAATATTGAAACTATACCTGCATCCACCACTTCCTCTGGAGGTACATACCACACAAGAACGATTCCCTGTGAAAAAAAATTGCCCCCATACCTTTTTTAAACCTTTCTCCCCTCACCTTAAAAATAGCCCCCGAGTCTTGAAATTCCCCACCCTAGGGAAAAGACACTTGCCATTCAGCTTATCTATACCCCGCATTATTTTATAAACCTCTATAAGGTCATCTCTCAACCTCCCACGCTCCAGTGAAAAACGTCCTAGCCTATCCAACCTGTCCTTATAACTGAAACCCTCCATTCCTGGCCAAGTCCTGGCAAATCTCTTCTGAACCTTCTCCAGCTTAATGATATCCTTCCCATAACAGGGAGGCCAGAACTGGACACTGTACTTCAGAAGAGGCTTCACCAATGTCCTCTGCAACCTCCATGTGATGTCCCAACTCCTATATTCAAAGGTCTGAGCAATGAGTAATGAACATTTCTTGGCAGCTTCAGTGGTTTCTCAATAGTTTGCAACTTATATCAGTGGTATGTATCCATACTAATATTGGTTGATTAGTTTCAGGCCCATGAAATGGTAATTAACTTCAACTTACAAACATTATAACTTGTTGCTAAGTTAGAAGTACAACTTCTACTGAAAATCTAGGCCAGATACATATAATTCAACTTTGGATGATTTAACTTCACAACAATTCTGAATTGATTGAATGCTGAAGATGATGCTTGCTGTCGTCCCACCAGCTGCAAGAAGGTGCAATTATTAAAATTGCAGAGGCAACATGAGAGCCGAGAAAAATAATAGACTTGATTTAAATAATCAACATTCAAAAATGTGACAGTGAATAAGAAATTACAATCAGAGGGTTTCATTTCAATATCATTGTCTAGTAAACTGTTGAGATGAACATATTTTCAATAAACCACCAAGAAATAAGTTAGCTACTTAAAACAGAATCTGTTTATTTCCTTTCAAAAAGATTTTGATTGCGTTGTCTATTTAGAGGGAGTACCTCATTGGTGTGATAAGAAAATAATATTCAATCATACCTATCAGCAACCCTTCATTCTGTCTAGCCTCAGAGCATACTTTCAAACTCGACAGAAAATGCTTCAATTAGGATTGATACTTTTATGAAATACCCCATATGCCTTTCAGTGTGGAATGGAGCACTTTTCATCAGGGTTTTCAATTTTTTAAAGAGGAAAACTAGAATAATGCTCCAGCTTATATATTGCAGAAAGGAATCAAATTAGTTTAGCAGGTCTGGCATCATTTGTGGAGAGAAATCAGAGTAAACTTTTTTAAAATTCATCCACAGGATGAGGGCATCACTGGCTAGGCAGCATTTATTGCCCATCCCTAATTACCCAGAGGGCAGTTAAGAGTCAACCACATTGCTGTGGGTCTGGAGTCATATGTTGGGCAGACCAGGTAAGGTTGGCAGTATCCTTCCCTAAAGGGCATTAGTGAACCAGATAGGTTTTTCCCGACAAAGCTATTATTAGACTCTTAATTCCAGGTATTTACTGAATTCAAATTCCAACATCTGCCATAGTGGGATTCAAACCTGGGTCCCCAGGACATTACCTGGGTCTCTGGTTTAAAAGTCTAGCGATAATACCTAAAGGCCATTGCCTCCCTGTTTAAGGCCTGGTAACATGAACTCAGTTATGAAAAGTGTCACCGGACCTGAAACATTAACTCTGATTTCTCTCCACAGACGCTGCCAGACCTGCTGAGCTTTTCCAGCAGTTTCAGTTCTTGTTTCAGATTTACAGCACCTTTAGGTTTTTTAATCAAATTAGCTTAGTTGATTAGTCCTCATTTGGTAATTCACCTCAAATTCTCAGTCATGAATATTTCATGTGGAATAAGAAAGTACAATGCAGAGGGCTAAAGTAAGAAGTAATTGGAAATGGTTTGTGTCACCTTTAGCACTCACTTGATCTCACTTAGATGGACTAGATTTGCACTAAGTGACACTAAACAATTTCTCAGGAAAAAGGAAAGTGGAAAATAACTTCACTTGTGCCGTTGTCTTAGAGAATACACATTTTCCCAACTTGAGAGTGAATTTCAGGAATTTTAAAACACAAATTTTGAGATGGAAGTGATAAAAATTACATTGTGGAAATGGAAATAAATAAAACGGCATGAATTGTGACTAAAGTAAGTTGAGTTACTGAGACCAAATCCTAGGAGAGTCTACTACCTTTTACTATATCACACTCAACACCACTAACAGTCAACATAAAAGATGACTGTGGCATTAAGAAACCTACCAAAAGCTTCTGATAGCCCGTAAACCTTCTGACTGTAGACATCAGTCTTGTCCCAGATGAAGTAATAGGACAGTTCAGGAGTAGCAGGAAACCACTTCTGGAAGAGCCGACCTTCCACAGCCACCATGAGATGTACTTTCATTAGATTGAATGGGATGGAGGGGTCAGTCAGACTAATCCTCATGATTGACTTGTAGCCAGCATTGCGGCTACTGACATAGTTCAGCTTCATTTTACTACCTGGAATATTTATCTCCTCTTGTAAAGCCTGTGAACAAAATGGGAGAAAGACCATAGCAAATAATAAATGAAAAAGAAACGTTAGCATTCTGCCACAATTCCTCCAGAGTACACTGGGAACTTAAAGACAGAAGTTTGATATTGTGCTGTGAATGATAGAATACAATATTTATCTATTGATTCTCGACACAGTGATATTTTCACTGCTTAAATGGCCATTTGAGGCAATCATTTCCCATAGGTTAGGTAAAACTCAAGTAGCCCAACTACACACCAGTGTTAGATTTAAGAGCAGAACAAGACAGGAACCAATTGAAAAGTCACCTGCATTTTCCCAGTAGTAACAAGTGCAGGGTGGCAGTACTACACAATTAGTTTTTTTAAAAATTTAATTTGAGTGAACGCTTCAAGGTTTTCTTTTTCTTTTTTCATCATGTTAGTTATTTCTTCTGGTGAAAATGGTGTCTGGCAGTGTGACACACTTGCATTACTTACATTTTACAATTCCGTGCAAGTGCCTATCATTTTAATCCACAACGAGTAATGGGTCAAACAGAGCATTGTTAAGTTCTGAGTGATTCTTCCTCTTAAGAACAATTATAGCCTTTAAAGGCTGGATGTTATGCTCCGCACCAGTGGGCTTGGGGCTGGTGGTGAATAAAACCCAGTGGTAACATTTGATGGGGCCAGCATTGGACACCTCACCCATCCTTGGGCATATTAAGGCCCTTAAACGGCCAATTAAGGACTTCATTCCACTTTGGTGCTACCCAAAACGGGAGGGTTGGGGGGTGGTTGGGGGGCAATGAATCCTCCACCAAACATTGGCACTGCTTAGTCGGCTGGTGTTGGGTAAGAGGGAGTGGGATTTCCTTAACAAGTCCACAGGACATACCCTCTACAAAGGCCATTTACACCCTGTTGCCCTTTCCTCAGGCTCTAAACCCTTCATTGCTAACCTTCGCCCTGGAGGCACGTGGACATAAAGGACTTTGAAATCTCACCTGAAAGTGACTAACCCTGCCTCCAGTGTTAAACCACTGTGGAGAGGCCTTTGAGGCAGGCTCCCCACTGAATTTTGCACTGGGATTGGGGAGAGATAACAGGGGCTGCAGAACTCCGCGGAATCCATGAGTAAGAATGCTGACTGGATACATTTTGAACAGTTTTGAGTCAATTGTGCAGAGCCACTAGGAAGGGAGATTGAGAAGCTCAGGCTTGTTTCATGCCAAAACCTAGGGCCTATAATCCTCCAGAGGGAAGACACTAACTAGAGAAGGAGCAATGCAATGAGTCCTTCTAATTAAAAATTAAACTCCAGTTAGTCAAATTAATAAATTATGATATTTTTCACATTTTTCCCTTGTCACGCATCTTTACTATAATTATTTTCAAAGCTCATCAGTGGGCTGCGCATTGGTCACTGATTTTCAGAGATGCATCCATCATGTAAGTCTGCACAGGAGAACAAAATCATAATTTCTAACTCTAGATTTTGTGGTTTTAGTGGGTACATGTTCATGTAACGAGCAACAATTTTCACTGTCATATTCCTTGTAAAGGGTAAAGTTGAATAAAGGTGGGCACCATACCTGTATTTCAGGGATGATGGGACCTCTCTCTTGGCATGAACCTGCAAATGCCGTCAAAGGTGCTGGTGAGACAATTGGATTGGGACGTGCAAAATTACTCAGGTCACAGCTAGGGATGTCATTCTCTTCATGCCTCATGATGACAGTGTCCATGACAAAGAAACGGTCCCATGGCAGCCAAAGTGTGTGCTCCTGAGTGATGAACGGAGAGCGCTCAAAGTGTATCGTGACCGAAACACCTCCGTTAGTCATCAAATCAAAGCTAGTATTTGGAGGACAGAACAAGACAGTTTGTTTTCAAATAAAAAACATTTACCTTGTGCAAAACATCACAACAGGTGTAATTTTCCAACTTGGTACGACCAACAGGCAAGCATCTGTACAGCAACACATGTCAGAAATGTGAAGGTTTTCTAACCATCAATTTAAAAGGAGAGCAATCTATACACAGTATATGCATACATTTCCAATCCATTTGCTGACAGGCAAGGCTCCTGCCAAGATTACAAAGTTGCAAAATTAACCATAACAGCATTTGTCAACTTCTTGACAGTTTTTAACATGGAACAGATGCAGCAGGTAAAGGTCAAGCTTCTTGATCAAGAGGTAGACATCTTTAATAAATTGATGTTTAGACACTTTTATTAATATGCAATCTTGGAAGATTTATTTTATCCCTGGGTCATCCATCAAAAGCACAGAACAAATGCAGATGCAATTAGTGAAACATTGATCCTGTAAAGGATTGCCTCACTTAATATTTATATTGAACATAAATGGCTGGGAGTCTCATGGTATTGCTCACATGATATTGATTTAAGGAGTTCTCTATGCTATATAGATCTATAGTACATTAAGGTCACAATTTAGTTTTCTTGAATATCTTCTTTAGTTAATTGTGGCATGTTTGCTGTGAGACATGGTGTACTGGATATTCTTTTCCTGGTTTGTTTTAATGATGTGAGCTATTGATAACAGTTGCTCCATGCAGGTTTGATGATTTGACATTAATGCCAGTTGAATTGTCAGATTTGTGTGTAAACTCTACGAAAGTGAATATTCCTTGGATTTCTCCTTTCTCCCCCTACTTCAGCTAAAGTCCTGGCCTCTACATGGGTAAATGGGCTTTGCATCAAAAATGGTGATGGGAGAAGGAGAGAAGCCTGGATGATATTTCTGATGCCTAGAAATTTCTCCAAATAGCTTGCATCACTTTGTTGCTCCTTTACAAAGAAAGGTTGCATCCGCCAGTGATGTCCAGAGCAATAGATATACAGACATCCAGAGTTTGCTGATTTGTAGGTTTTTGGTACAAAACTGCTGAACCAGTAGCACATCTCAATGCACATTTCAACATCTACTCTTCAGCAGACAGCAGGACAGTGTTCAGGGTTGGGGGTGGGTGCTGATGAATAAATATGTAACTGCAGAGCTCTTTCATTTCATTACCAAATTGCTTAAATACAGATTTTATTTTTATTAGACTGTAAACCCAATTCTGAATCAGAGTGCTCCGAGTGCAGCTGATGATAGTACCAACCCAGAGAAGAAGAATGGTTAAGTTTACTTGTTTAGATCACAAAAGTCTCCTGGGTCTAATGAATGCAGGATAGTTACAGACTCACGGGTAGTACCTAATTACACAGAATTATTTATTTATAATTAGTTATAATTATAAATGGCTGCTAACGCCACACTTATAAGTTGCAGAAAGCAAAGTATAAGCATCACACAACATTCTGCGAGGTAAACAACTTGTTTTTAAATGAAATTTCAATATCTGCTTCTTGAATGATGCAGCAGTGTTAAGCCTCATACCTGCCATCCTGCCGGCTGATGGTGTAACCACACCGTGGATTGTTCACAAAGCTGATATTAACTCCAACCAAAGGAGTGCCATCTGCCGTCACTACTTGACCTCGTATTACACACGTGTGACTGTAAATAACAGGAATTACATATTAAAATAAACAGTCACATGCATGTATTACTATAACCTTATGTTTTACAGCCATTCTAATGGTATGTAGAAGAGATGCCCTCCAAAGCCCTTGCTTAGGTACACATTGCCCTAACTGTGGGGTAGTGGTTCATTGGAAGGCTAGGAAAATCCCTAGCTGAATTTACTTTACATGTTTAACTGAGTATTTCATGATGTTTGTCAATGACTAATGGCTTACCACCACATTTGTAATAAACTGCATGTGAACCATTCCTGAACACCCTCAGGCATTAACCACCATCACCAGAAGGGTATATTTTTGTACGTCCAAATAGAAACTTACTTTCAATGAAAGAATATTAATAGTCAAACATGAACTGAATTAATTGTCCAATATGGAAAGTTAGTAATCAATAGGGGTGAGTTGTATGAATTGTAGCTAATTGAAGTAAAACTCTCACTAAGAGTGTGAACTTGAGCTTTGTTTAAATATGAAATAACTGCACAGGAGGTTGTTATCCTGTCACCAAGTCACCCTTCATTTACATGTGCACAGTACATAGACTCTGACCAACTAACTCACAATGAGTCGACTCTCTGAAACTCTTGTTTATATTTGCTAGCCAGGGTTCCCTGATTGGCCCATGTTAACAATTCCAATCAAGGATCTCTTTGTCAATGGATCTACCTGGTCCTCATTCCAATTACTACAAAATACAATTATCTCTTGGAGTATACTGCTCATCCAGGTGTACAGTAGCCTTTCAAAGATGGCATGCAAGTGACACTTGATGCTTTTGGTGGATATGTGCTGAGTCAGTAGCTGATCTGGAAAAGCCTGTGGTAATTTGGGCCCAGAATCAAAGATGATGGATGCCAAAGAGGTGGAGTGGATTGTTAATGTGGTTCGTTTGGTAAGATACGGTAAGAGAACTCACTAGGTAGCCTTGTGGCGACAAACCCTCCAAAAGACTTAGACTAAGCCAAAAGAAAGATTCAGCTATAATTTGTATTAATGCCCACTTGTGTCATATTATTCCATTGCACAAGCCGCATTTCTTAGTGATTAAAGTAATTGTCATGGAAAGAATCCCTTTGTAGAACAGTTTCCTTGTGAAGAGTTTAATGCACACCTAATAAACTCTGAATGTATCCATCACCTGTTTCCTTCTTCGATTAGGTCTTAGGCATTCCTTCAGCCCAAGTCATGTGATAACATCAGCAATTCCCAAAGCTGTCACAAAGGGGATGGGAAGATTCCAGCAATTATTATTTTGGCTGTGACTAAAATAGAAAAATAAAAGTGAACTCCTGCACCATATGACTCCATTTGGAAATTGGCATATTTTAGTCTGTCCAGGTGGGTATCCTGATCTGGAGTGATGCGCGGGAGCACGACAAGCAACAAAGTATGAAATACATTACTTTAAAACTATGGATCCTGGTTATTACTGACATGTATTATAATTACTTTGTTTTTCTGAGACTGAGTTTATCATTGCTATAAATTTAATGGATTAGTGAAAAAATTATTATCCAGTACATCAACAAATAGCTAATATTTTAATATTTTTACAACAGATAGAGGTGAATTATCTTTCTTAATTTGTATATTAATCTATTTTTTCTCACACTTCCAGTAGATTTTAGCTCCACAACACTTACACAGAATTATAGAAAATCTACAAGACATAAACCTGCTAGCTGACCTTACTGTTCAGTTTTCATAGAATCATAGATTCTCTACAGTATGGAAACAGGCCATTCGGCCCAACAAGTCAACTCCGCCCCTCTGAAGAGCATCCCACCCAGATCCATTCCGTACCCCTGTATTTCCCATGTCTAACCCACCTAACCTAAACATCCCTGGGCACGATGGGAAATTTAGCATGGCCAATCCACCTACCCTGCACATCTTTGGACTGTGGGACGAAACTGGAGCACCCGAAGGAAACCCACGCAGACACAGGGAGAATGTGCAAACTCCACACAGACAGTCGCCTTAGGTTGCAATCAAACACGGGTTCCTGGTACTGTGAGGCAGCAGTGCTAACCACTGACCCACCATGCTGCCCAGTTTTGGATTCCTTATTTGTGGAAGGATAAAAATGGAGGATAGTCAGAGGAGGGTTGTGAAATAACTCCACAGAGACTGATATCCCGTCACCAAGTCACCTTTTATTTACACGTAGAGAGTCCTTGACACTGATCCAGCTTCCTCAGAGCCAGCTGTCAGAATGAACAGATCTCTGACACTTCTGTTTATATCTGTCAGCCAGGGCTCCCTGATTGGACCAGATTAACAGCCCCAATCAGGGAACTCATGTCTTGAGGTCCACCTGGCTGACCACATTACAATCACTACAATTTGCTTGATTGATACCTGCAATAGGCAGATTTTCTTTTGAGGAAAGGTTGGTCAGACTATGTTTTTTTTAAACATCCACTGATGCTTGGAAGAATGAGTGATGAGTTGATATAATTATATAAATTTGTGAACTGTCTTGAAAGTGAAGGAGATGGCTTCTGGTAGGCAAATCCAGTACAACGGGGCATTATTTAAAAATCCTTTTAAGGCAAGGATTAGGTGAACTTTTTTTCTCTCAAAGGGTTGTGTAACAACAGAATGTTCCACCTCAGAAGGTAGTAAGGTGGAGTTATAAATCATATCATTTGAAAATCATAATCTGTTGACTATTGTATAACAAATATCTGGTTTATAATTCATTTGTTTTAGAATGTAACCTTTCATTTTAAGGACTAAACTTTTCAATGTGAAAAATGGGTCAAATGATTGGGAAGCATAGGAAAACATCTCTGATGTAAATGGAACTCAGCTAAGTTGGGGTTATATTCTTAAAACATTGCCTGCATTTGTTATGCAAAGTTAATCTAGATAGTTAAAAAATTGAACAATAAATTTATCACTTTTTAAGCATGTAATAGAGCCAGGGAGTCTAGAGAGAGAGAGTAATTATATCCATTAGAAATATTAATTTTACCAATAGATTGCAGAATCAAAGAGTTATGTTGATGGTAAAATAGTTTATTTGCAATTGTTTTTTAATTATACCACATTATGCAATGTCACTTTGGAGATAATGATTCAGTTTGAAACCTGGGAGAGAAGGTTCTTTTAATGTATCTTTATGCCTGTTCTGACTGGAGCAAACAGATTCATTTGAGTCCTATGAGGGACAAACAGCTAGATGATTTGCTTTACCTTTCAGCTAGTGATTCTTATTGAACTTTGTGGGAGAAAGCAGTCAGCTTGAAAAGATCACTTCAGAAGCAGTAGGAGCACACTAGGGAAAAGTATCTATGGAGGGCGAGAACAGGGAACACGAGAGTCCACAGTCCTCATGTCTTTAAACGAAATTTGAAATATGCTTAGCCAACAGCTGATTCCAAGAGATTTTCTAGCTGGTATGCTAAGGGCATTTAAAGTAAATTCCAGAGGGTTGGGTATATATTTAGGCTAATTCTGGGAAAAGTGAGTGAAACTTCAAGATTTCAAAAGGTAAAGGAACTCATTAAGATGCAGTTGGAGTAAAAAGTAATCCTATATCCATTGTATAGATCTTCGTAAGCTATTATGTTAAGTTAGCAGTTTTTGTAATGTCTAATTTCTCTTTACATGTACAAGGAAGTTTGTTTTTGTTTAAAATAAAACATTTAATCTTGTGTCATAATTCTTTCAATTAATTGCTAGTGATTGAATTTCTTATTCAAATATTAACAGTCCATAATAAAGTCATAACACTGTATGCGTTCTACATTGACTGCACTGCCCTTGACTTCTGATTTGAGATTTCTTCAAAGAATCCTGTAAAGTTGATTAAAGACAAGAAATTACTTTGAGAAGTCCATGCTTTTTTTTTTATCATATTCTTTGCCCTTAAATGTTTTGTTATTTCATATTTTAGGCTTAATTGAACTGTGTTTCTCACTACTGACGCTAATAAATAGTTCTCTGCACTGCATGTTCACTTCTGAGACACAAAGTTGTGGATTCAAATCCAGTCCAGAGCCTTCAGTAAAAAGACCAAAGCTGGCACTCCAGTGTAGAAAGTAGGCTGTGAGACATTGTTGGAAGTGCTGTTCCTTGGATGGGATGTCAATCCCAGGCTCTGTCTGTACCATTAGGTTTTTTTAAAATTTATTCACAGGATGTGGGTGTCACTGGCTAGGCCAGCATTTATTCCCATTCATAATTGCCCAGAGGGCAGTTGAGAGTCAACCATATTACTGTGGGTCTGGAGTCACATGTAGGTAAGGATGTGAGATATCCTCCCCTGAATGACATTAGTGAACCAGATGGATTTATCCTGACAATTGACACTGTTGAATTTAAATTCCGCCATCTGCCATGGCAGGATTTGAAGCTGATTTCTACATCATTACTGGGGTGTCTGGATGAATAGTAGAGATAATACCGCTAGGCCAACATCCCCTAGACATAAACAATACCCATAAGATTTTCCTGAAGATGATCACGGCAGTTATCACTTGTGTTCTGGCTATTATATATCTGTCAATTGACATTGTGAAAAGAAAATCTGGCCATTATCAGTTTGGCCAAGATCTTCCAGCCTCTGGATAGTCAGAGACCAGATATGCCCCCAAAGGTACATAGTGAGGCTCCTCTGAGATCTCAGTTGGAAGTGCCCAGGAAATTTAAACAACTCCTCAGCTCACTGGGACCCTGCTTGAAAACAACTCTAAGTTAGAGTTGGAAAATTTGGAGAGAACTAACTTACCTACAAGGATAAATATCCAAGGAATGTTGGACAGATTAAATCTAACTCCTGAGTAATTGTACAACTTATCCCGGTTGACTCCTCACTGACACCTCAACACCCCATTGATCTCTCAGACCTGCGACCTCACCCTAACCCTTCAAGATCATCTTGAGTCCTACTGCAGCCCCCAAAACGCCAACTGCCCTCTTATCCTCCAAAATTCTACCTTGTCCCATCCAAAGTGGCCAATCTCC